CTGTATTATTCTGGCACAATGTTTTTTTTCCGGAAGTTCTTTTAAAAAATAAATTTTTTAGTTTTTCAGATGGAATTCGTTCACCATTGTCAGCTATCAACTCTTTTTCTGACTGATGTTTCGCGAAAATTTTTTTCTACCCACTTTTTGGGACGATAGTCAAACGAATTGAGTTGCGGTCCAAAACAGACCAGACCACCTAAAATTCCAAGAAATTAGACTTTCAAAAATTCAAGTTTCAATTTCGGAATCCTGAGTTTCTAGGCCGCAGACAATAGTGGAATTGTCCTCTTACCGTATTTCCTCTTGTAGAATCCCACTCAACGTTGAACTCAATTATCTGGACTGCTGTGAAAGATATCAAAAGGTGGTCAACTGATAAATTATCGGTGATATTATGATTACCTGTTTATCAGTTGACAAAATATTGTTATCTCTCCTAGAAAACGAGATGATTGAGCTCACGTTGACGGTTTCGGTAGGCTTCTATTGGAGAAAATACGATATTAGAGTTTGAAAAATTCGGAGCTGTGACAGAGAAACGCTGGTGGCCGTGGTAGAAGGTCTCAAGACGACAACTACCGTAACCTAAAAATATTTTCAGTTTTTTTTCAATATCAAACATTTTCATTTTCCGACTTATTTGGGGAAAAATAACATAAAAATCGGCGAAACTCATTATAAAAACGAGAAAACAAGTTCTGAAAATATAAACAGGTTACTGTAGTTGTCGTTGTGAGACCTTCGAGCTCTGATTTTCTAATGCCAATGCAATAACATATCATCTTTATTATAATTGTTTTCCTACTTATTTTTGATAATCTTAACTTTTCCGGGTGATTATTGTAAATATTCCAAATCTTTCAAATTTCATTCATCATTCATTTAAAAATTCAACTTTGCTTCCTTCTCCCGAAGATACACCAAATCGCTCATTGACGTCAAACGCATTCTGTTTTTTTCTCTTTCAAAATGAGTAACACAAACAAAGAAGTGATTTTTGAAAAAAAAACTCTTGTTCGATGGCTGTCTGATGCTTTCGAGACCTATATTTCCCATTGAACACCACGTTTTCAGACCGGATTAGACCAGTCTGAAACTACTTTGCACCGTGATGTCAGCGGTACATCCTGAATGGAAATTGAACAAAAGACTGAAAAGAGGATTGTTGTATTTACAGGTGCAGCGTGGGAAAAGATTTGCAGATTAGAGGAGGCGAAATTTGCAAGAATGGAAAATAATAAAATTTATTAGAAAAGGACTCCCTTAATTGTAAGGGGGGGGGGGGGGTCAGAAATTCATTTCAATAGAATTCTATTTCACACTACAGTAAACTAAAAAACCAGAAAAAACAATTCAACAGGGGTAACAATTAACAGAACAAATGTTTCAAGAATTGAAAATTATACAGATTAGATTCTAATCACTAGAGTTCGAACGAATCATCAATATGTATAGCCTCTTTTTCTTCTCCTTCTTCATCAGACAACATTTTGGTTTTTTTGAAAAGAACGGTCTCGTTCGAAGTGATCTGCCTTTTTCTCGTTCGAGTCGATTTTGGAAAGTACTGAAAATTGGAAATTTTTAGAAGTGAATAGAGAGAAACTCTCACTTCAAAACTATCATCTGGGTCCTCTTTAAGTTCATCCTCATCCCACGCATGCTTCTTTTCCTTCTTTCTCTTTCCTACTGATGATGATGAAGAAGATCCAACTACAGAAGAACCATCGATAGGTTCTGTTTTGACTTTCTTCAAAGCAATACCCGATTTCAGTGCTTTCATACTCTCATGCAATGATATAACTTTTTCACATTGTGTCAAAAATCTCTTAAATGCGATTTGGGTGGTTTTTCCCGAGTTGAAACGAACTTCCTGAAATTGGAAAAAACCGCATGATATTATTAGGGGTTTGCAAAAGTAATGCGCGTCAAGTTTGGTGTTTTGTATCTCACCCAAAACAAACGGTTTTTGTTCAATTTCTTGTGTTTTAAAAAGCGCGTTCTTGGCCTTCATTTTGTTATATTATATTGCTGTTTCAATTTGATTTCTATTAAAAAAAAACATTCTAGAAGATGTCCGACCAAAAATTTCGCCTTCGAGCATTTTTGTGGCACCAATTTAAAGAAGGAAAATCGGCTGCCGAAGCTCACCGCTCACTTTCTCCTGTATTTGGTGAAGAAGCTATATCCGAAAGTCAGTGTCGGCGCTGGTTTCAGCGCTTCAGGAGCGGAGATGAAAGATTGGAAGATGAATCGCGCCCTGGTCGCAATTGAAGTGGATCCTTGCCAAACTACTCTCAGTCTCTCAGTTGGAGCCGCCAACCTCCCAAACCTGCTCTTTCCGCAATATAGTCCCGATTTGGCACCATCGGTTTATCACCTATTCCGATCCATGCAACATCATCTGGCCGAGAAAAAATTCGAAAGCGGTGAAGAAGTGCAAATTTGGGTGGCGGACTATTTCGAGTCACAGCCAAAGGAGTTCTTCAAGAAAGGCATCGCTGAATTGCGCACACGTTGGCAGCAAGTAGTGAACAATAATGGAGAATATCTTATTGATTGATGATCTCTTGTTTTGGTTTTACAATAAAAGGAAGTTGCATCAAAAACGCGCATTACTTTTGCAAACCCCTGATATTTGCATCTTCCCATTACCGTATATGAATCAACGAGACGATTGTGTAGGTCGTCTAATTTATCCATCGGAACACCTTCTAGACGCAACGATGTTGACATAGCAGTGAACACATGACGGATGAACCAAGCAGATGGGAATGCCACTGCTCTACTGACCATCTTGTTAGCTAGTTCGACCTCTAAATGCTTCTCCTTCTTTTCGTTTTGTTTTAGGAGTTCATCGTTTTCATCTCCTATTGTCGGTACACAACTGATCGCTTCACATACTTGCTCGGTCATTTCCATGATATTCAAGTTGGCATCGTGCTCGCTCGACTTAGAAATGATATCAATTGATCTAACGAATCCAAGCATAAGGTTCATTCTGGAATTAGAAATTTTTAAGTATGACACAAGTTGCCGCACAACTGACCTTGTGAAATCACTTCTGATTGCTTTTTTGCAGTATGATTTGAATATCTTCACAAGAGGTAAATCCGAATTTCTGTTTTGGAAAATTATCAGAAGAAGTGCACAGTGGAGCTTCGGCCAAGCGAATCGTCCATATGATAGCATACTCAGATAATCTTGAACCGTTTGAACAAGAACCATCCCTCGAAGTGTGACCAATGATGTTTCGAACAATTTCGCCAATTCATTCTGACATTCTTCCTCACTCTGATGTTGCTCTTGAAAAATGGCTTGGGCTGTTTTTGGGAATCCGTGCCGTTTGATAACTCTAGCTAAGGTGTGGAGTCCAGTTGACTTGAGAACTTCATCATCTCTGTGGATCAACAATTGGGTGAGCTTGATGTAGGGCTCACAGTTAACAAAATCGATGGAAGTTGCATATCCGATGAGTTCTAGACCAATTTTTTGGATTCCTTTGTTTTCGTTTCCGAGAAGAGCCGGGATAATACTTTTGAAAAGAGAGGTCATTGAGGAAGTTGGAGTTTCAATTTCTTCATGTTTGCATGTTGCAAGCAACATCGTTGCACCTCTCAAATACATCCTATCAAGAACAGTGTCATTCTCCATTGCAGTTTCCAATTTCGGATTCTCTCTATCGAATTGTTCCGATTCATACATCATCAATTGACTGGCAGTTTCACAGAACCAGTTACATATATCTTCCGTTTCTTCGCCGTTTTTGCACAGGTCAATACAAGTTGTTACCATCGTTGAAACTGATGGATTCGAAAACTGGAGAGTAGGTGATGCTAATAACTCCATCAACACATTTTTGTAGGTTATCCTATCATCTGACACGTTTCCATATTTCACAGATTTGTTTATGAGGTGGATGATATTGTATAGCAACAACTCTCTTCTGTCATCAGCATCTTCTTTGAAATGAGTGAAGCAGAGATGCCTTAGCTCTTCAACAAATGTTGTGACATCGGGAAGAAAAAACATAAGAGCACGATTTCGCAAATGCTCCGCATCAAGCCTCCCTTTGACTGAATCGAAAACGACATCTAAACAACATCGAGTAACGAATATTCTCAAAAAAGTTATATTAAGCTCCTCGATCGAATTCTCCGTGTCTCTGGAAAAATAAACATTTTAAAACAAACTTGGTTCGGCACACTTACTCGGAAACAAGCCTGAATGTCGTTCTACGCATCAATCCAATGCATTCACTGTCTTCGCTAGGAATTTTGAGACAAGCTTTCATAAACTCCTCTACATCAATGTGATCCGACGCTTTTCCAGAAACTTTATTGGTAAATCGGATAATCGCAAACTTCAACTGCAATAGTTTCGATTAAACTTGAAAAAAGATAACGCTTACAAAAATATAGACAGCATCAGGGTCGACGAATGGATCAAGATACTGCAGAATTATACTGGGAAACTCGTTGGGAATCTCATGATTTGGTTGCGATGGAGGGAAAACCGACGGACTGATGATCTCCTCTCCAGCAACTTTCATCCAGGATTCCACAAGGCGCTGATGAATAACGTCTTGTACCCGTGCTAAAGTTTGTTGTTCTATAAAGGCTATCCGAGATTATCATACCGTTGTCACTGTCGTTCAGAAGGTTTACAAGACGGTATCTCTGCTCATCAGAATAGGAAAACAGATGAACATCAGATGCGAGTCTGTTAATGATTTCCTGCCGAACACGAGTATCTTTGCTTCTCTCAACGTAATCGATGCACTTGTTAATCTCTTTTTCGTCGACAATATGAACTCGACGAGCTGCACTTATTCGAACACTTTCGTCAACATCGTGGACACTCTTCCAAATCACTTAATCGATTATATTTCAAAACATAGCAAATATATCACTCACAATCATTGACTGTTAACTCTTCACCGTTTGTGGATTTGATCACAATGTCGTGGTCCCAAAGCGATAACGCAACAACTGCTTTACATCTAACTTGAGGTGACTTGTCCAGCAAACTTTTGGCCAACTTCATCACCCACCTTTTTCTCACGCCATTCGGAATCATCTCCTCTTCCTCAGTGGGATTCTCATCCGTGAACAAGAAAACATTATCACCATGTTCTCTCATAATTTCAGAATAGCGATTCGCCTCTTCTACTAAATACGCGATGAGAAGGTTGACTCGAGACCGGACGTTCGAATCAACGTGTAAGAACAGGCGATCGATTAGAAGAATCAGTTGGAAGAAAAGATCGCTACACTTTATAGACTTATTTTTGATCGATAGTTTTGCTACGAACAACATCAGAACGTTCTCAGCTTGATCAACTCTTTCAGCCCTCTCTCGATTGTCAAAAATCATCCGAGTCAGGCCGCAAATGATAGTTTCGATTACTGCGTTTCGTTTTGCATCCATCATTGTCGACTGGAAATTTTATGTTTTCAATAAGGTCTCAAGCAAAAGTGCTTACCTGGAAAACTATTTTGTTGGCCACATCAAACAGCGCCATTGCTGCAGGTTCACCTCGATACAATACTTCTGCTATGACACGACCGATGCGTAGTTTTAAAACATTCAGTGGGACGTTTTCTGGAACTCTTAAATGTTCCTGATATTCGTATTTCGCTAACCAATAGTGAGCAAATTGAAATCCTCTTCTGCCAAATCCAGATCACGCAGTGGCTGTTGGGTAATGACTTCGTCACTATCGTCCTCCAAACTTTCGTTGTCCTCTTCTTCGGGTGGTTTCAATCCGGGAACGGGATCGTCGAAGCTATCTTCTTCGTCACTCTGTTTATTGAAACTCTTATTTTAATTGACTCATTTCAACGGGTAGAACTTACAAATAGATTTCCAAGATGGTCAGCAGAACTCATTTTTTCTGTAAATTTCGGTGGAGTAAGTTAAAGAGCCGGAAACAAAGATATTCGATGTTCCGAAACAATTCATGAACCTGTTTAAATAAATCAACAAATTTTTCATTTCATGAAATTTCAATATTACCAAGAAAAAAAAAACTAAAATTACAAAAAAACCGATATAAAGTACAAATTACTATAAGCTGTCAACAGAATACACAGAGAAAAAAAATCAAAAGAGTATTTGCATGGTAACTGAAAGTACATTTTCGATGAGTGTGGTTTTGGGAAAGTTACAAATTTTTACGTTCCTGGCAGAATTTCGTGATATCCGTAATTCATGACAACTTGTTTTTGGAAATACTTATCAAGCTTTGCTGAAATTTATTAGGTTATGGTTTAAATAGCAGTGTTACCAACTAACCGAGAATGTGCTTTCCGTGAGCGAACTGTCTCAAAATAGGGATGTGGGATCTGACGGTTAGAATCAGTTCACGACGTTGTTCGGGTGTAACTTGCTCAAACATCTTCTGAACGACATAGTTAGCATATTGATCTTTCATCATTTGAACCACGATTGGCATCGTTCTGAAAAACATTTAATGATGGATGAACCTTCAAACTACTGGGAAATTACCCGTCCGGTTGACTACATGCAGCTCTCACAATAATGTTTTTGTGATGAATCGAACCTCGTTCCAAGCATTTCTCGATGACGTTCGATGAATACTTGTGAGAGGCAAAGTCGAACAAGTTTTCCGAGACTCTTGTGACAATGAGCAGACGATCGGCTTCTGTTCCATGTAGAATAACATGCTGAACCACGTAATTTCCATATTGGTTGTTAGCGATGTCGTCAAATCGCTCGTGAATGCGTTCAATGATGGGTCTCGTCTGAGATGCAATGCAATGTTCGAGACAGCGTTGTACGACGCGGCATCCATACGGATCAACAGACATGTCGAAAATGTTATCAGGGTTCTCCATGAGAGTATTGACAATGAATTGAATGTACTGCGGGCTGACCTTCTCTATAGCTTTTTGAATGACATGATTCCCGTTCTGATCTTTCATGCAACGATGAATAACATGGCGAATTTGAGAGAGAATCTTTATTTGCAGAGGCTCGTTGACTTTTTCCAACGCCTTCTGAAGCACACGGCATGCATACATTTGGAAAGCATACTCAGGAACACGGTCCACGACAGCATCGACTAGACGAGTCCAGTGTTTTTCCTCTCCGTACTCGAAAAACTTTTGAACGACGTAGTTTCCGAAAATATCATCCACTAGCTCGGCAGCATTATCCACCACTTCATCAAAGATGGCATCTTTTTCATTAATATCGCAGAATTCTAGTTTTTGCTGGATGAATCTCGAACCCACTTGATCTTTCGCAAACTTGAGAAGCATTCCTCGAACGTCAGACAGTTTCAAGCCTTTCATCATTGAGGGGTTAGAACGAAATCTAGTTAGCAGGTCATCTGAAGTCGCAGTTTCTCTGAAGTACACGACATGTTTTGAACATTTTGGTAATCAACAAACCTATTGGTGTTAGCAAAAACTCCCGTGGCGTTAGGTTGAATTGGAATACGCATGGGCGGAACTTGGTGAATCGGAAGATCGGAACATGCTGAAAGTAGAGTCGTATTTATTATCCCTTCGACAATACCGAAAATCTCCTTACCGTGTGACGTTATCATTTGTGTCAAATGAGGGTTATGGGAAAATATTGGGTTCGCGTTCCAGTTGGGATTCAGGTAGTTATTGTTGGGCATGGTACTCATCATATGAATGTTCATGTTGTTAATTGGTATGTTTTCTTGAGTACACGCGCATGATGGAGGTGTACCGAACATGTGCACAGTGTTTTGTCCTATGACTCTTCCTCCTTGATGCATAAAAGCTGCGAATTGAAATTCTGGAGTATCTGGGAGATGCTCATTTTTGGGATTGACAGCAATGTGACGACCGTAGGACTTCTGCAAGAAAAATTTTTGAAATGGGTTTCTGTTCTTGATTATCATATCAATATAATAACTAGCCTGCAAACTTACTAATGGTGAGCCACAGACGCTATCGACTATTTGTTGAGCACCAATACTCTTCACTAGCGACTCTGTTGGAGAAGCCACTGTTTCAGAATCATCAGTTTTTGCAATCGAGATTGGCCGACTCATAAAGCACGAAGTGTACCCTGAAAACAAGTAATGTAGGTGAATATAGCACTGGAGTCATGGGTAAGTGAAAAGGCCTTGAACAAAATGAAAACTTATTGTGATTGGGTGCGCAAATGCATTTTTTGAAGTAAATCAGCAATTCGGTATCGATAAACTGTCTTTTTGCATTTAATTTTGGTCGTTTAAAGCATAAATCAAAGGGTAATTATCTACTGTAGGAAATTGAAAAAAAACCAAAAAAATTTCACAAATCAGGCGCTACCGTAGTCGTTGCACGTCGTTGCGAGACCATAGCAGAGTTGGCCATGTTCCTTTAATCTTTTTCGGATTTTTTCACTTTTTTTGTAAATGTGCGACGCCTTTGTTTTGCATATCGGCTGAAAATGATTCAGTTGAGTATCCCGTTAGTTTGTTTCATATTTCGGAGCGTTTGGCTACATGTACATTTGGAAATGGATATCAAATTTTTCTCGGAATCGGATGACCGATTCAAAAACTTCTAAGTGTAGTGTCCGTCGAAATGCAAATAGAGAGATGAAGATTCTTAACAAATTTGGTATTTTTTCGCAGCCGTTCGTTTCGGCCATCGTCTCAAATTACCCTCGCTCAACCTGTGCCCTCTCCGATACCTTTGTCATCTCAACAATTTCAGGAGGATTCAATGGATTTTGTTTGCGTATATTTAATTTTGGAAAACAAAGGCGTCGCACATCGAGAAAGGTTGCAGCCGAGCGTACGAGAGCGTATTGTGTACGAAAACATAGCGCGTCTGATTGCATAAGGTGAATGTTCGTGTAAAGCAGCTTCCGGCCGTGGGAACAACACCCCACAGTTTGTGTGTGCCGAGACGCCCCTTGTCTCTTTTCGAAGTCCCATCTTTGTGCTTGCTCCGTAACTCGAACTCATCACGACCAAATAGGGTCTGAGACCTTATATGCCATGCTTTCGTGCTTACATTACTTTCTACTAATATTTCCTTCTTATTTTGCCCTACTTTTAAACTCACCTCCCGAGTATCAACCTGGATATGGTTATGTAGGCCCCGCTTGTGCAGTTTTTGTAAGCCTTTTTAGTCTGTACACATCATATTTTTTATATTTCAGGATAGCACACTTTTCCTGCATGGCGTATCTAAAAGAAAGCTGAATGATCATGAGCTTCACATTTTTCAATCATATCAGCATGATTTGAGCGCTTTCAAAGAGTTGGTCTAGCCGGTATTGATGAGAATAGTTAACACATTTTCTTTCCAGTTCATCCTCTTCATTTGATTCGTTTGAAGCTTCGTTTCCGACAATACCCAAGTTTTGTGGAGGTTATGACGATTCGATCGAAGTGATTTTGGATTCCTGTATTGTCAGAGTGAGTGAAACATTTTTGGCATTGAACTATTCACTAATATTGCAGAACAACCATGTATATGTTGGTGATAATCTTATTCGCCCACTCACAAATTTTGAGAAGCAAAAAATTCAATTAGTGAAGATGAGAAGAATGTACGGTGAATTGAAAAAGAAGAGAAGCAGACGAAGTTCAAAGTCTTTGTAGGTATTTCTCGATTTTAAAATATTCTATCTTCGATTTTCAGACCTGAAACTCTCCCACAAAGGGATTTCAGTGAGATGCTTCACAAACTTTTGAATATCAATTCTACAGTAACCTCGCGATTTCTTCCTGTCGTCAGCCAGAGCCCCCTGTTCGCAATGGAAGGTCGGTGGGAAAATTTACTCGAAATCGGGAAAGGTGATTCCCTTTCTTCGAGTAATCCATATTCGGTTTCAATAACTATCTTTTTTGAGACAAGGATATGATCGAATTGTTAGCAGCTACTCAATTCAAGCCACAACCACCTCCACCTCCTTCTCTTCCGGTCTCCCCAATTGTAGATATCACGAGGATCGATTCACCGTATAGAGCAAAGTTCACCACTATGAAACCGAAAAAATCACAAAAAGCGGAGAAGAAGAAAGATGTTTTCACAACTAAAACTGCTGTAAAAACGACGACAACAACAGAAGCAACCACCACAAGTACTAAAACAAGTGAGAATTTTCTGAAATTCAGTTGATATGATAATCAATATTCCAGTTGCACCAACTACAACAACGACTCCACGTTACATATCTCTACAAACTCTCCCCCCATCTACAACAACAAGACGTCCGAATATCGAAAGAAGTAAAAAGATGCCTGAATCTGCGAGACCGTCATCATCACTGTCAAGCGTGCAGACAGTTGTAGACCCGATTATTCTGAAATTGATTTCGAAGGCGTTGGAAAGAAATGAGATGATTGATGAGTATGCATTGAAACAAGCTCTATATATGAGAAATGTAGAGACTACTACAGTAATTTTAAATTTCTTGAAGCTCAAATACAATCCCAAATTTCAGACTGCTCTTCCTCTTCGGTTCATCATACCGACGGCTCCTCCATCGAACCCATTTCAAACGTCTTCAAGAATCGGAGGGCTTTCCCACAACCATCTCTTCATTCCTAATCAACCTTTTACAACTCTCGTCTCTTCAGATTCCAGATACTCTGCCCCGAACCCTCTTTCTCATAGACTTCCCAACGAGATTTGCCGAGTTCATATGAATTCTAACCCTTTCTATTTTAATGTGTGAATTCTATTCCCGTAAATTGAATATGTCGCTCGGGTCCTACAGAATTATATTTCAGGCATCTCGGTTTTGTGTGAAAACTATTTAAGTATTGAATAAATCTTTCAAGTTTATTTATAATAGATCACAGTTCGACGTTCATAGTTTGTCCTTGAGTCTTTACAGCATCGCCATGCTTGTTTTTGATCCAGCACGAAGCATCTCCACCTCATCCTTGATTTTGAATCCTTCCGTTGGTGGTGGAGCAGTCACTTCGGCTTTCGGAGTTGATGCAGCTGGAGTTGTTTCTTCTCCGGTTGATTGTCTTGGATGACGACCTTGTTAAGATTCGGTCCTTTTCGACAGCTTTTCGTGCTCAATGTCTGCATTTTGTTCATTTTCGACCAGGAATGTTGGCAGAGTTCACATCGTTCGATTCCCCGTTGTCTGCAGTGACCCGAATTTTTTAAAAAGCTCACGCTGTTAATTTATTGTCTGCACTATTCTATTTAACTTGACGATGGCATGTGAATAACACTAGAGAGAGTGATGCAGACACGAAAAGTCCGCAAACACAACGCGCGTCAGCTGCCTGGTTTTGACATGCCTTGTGGTTCTGAATTGAAGCAGAATTTTCTAAAAACCTAGATTCACACCAAACTTCTTCAAATTTTTGAGTTTCTCATGAGGGAAATTCCGAAATTAGTTAACCTAGATGACAGTAATCCGGCGCGTGGTGAGAACACCCATAAGTAATGGGACATGTTCCTTTAAACGAGTTACGGTTGCTCGGACTTTTTTTGAATAATTTTTTGCTTTTTTGCACAAAAATTTACCTTTTAAAAGCCTGGAATATGAATCGGCAAGCAAATATTTCGTTAATATTCAATTTAATATGTCGAATAACCTGATATTCGTTAATATTTTCCTCTTTTTTTGCTGTAGACCAGTCAAAAAAATTTTTTGAACATACAATTTTTCCAGGCCGAATTGGATGACATCTGGAGCAAACCAGTCGAATTCGGCAGACAAGAGTAGAAGTAAGCAGCTTCGAAAATCGTCTAAGCGCCCAGCTAGCTCCGGTGGTGGCACAGAAGTAATACTGGCCCCAATTCTAATTAAAATCGACATAAGACAACTATTTCAGGCGAAACAAATGCGTAACGCTCACGATGACCAAGACGAATGCATGGAGGATGTATCAACTAGTAGCGACACCAGAGAACACAACGGTCTACTCGAGAACTTCAAAGTGACCATATCCCAGCTCGATTTATGTGCATTTTCAAATTTCAGAACCAGCCCGATCATTCTCAACGCGCTGGTGCCAGCAATGATCGTGGTGTGAAGAAAAAACTGGTGATCAAGAACTTTAAAGGTACGTTACTTCAAATTTTTAGCATTTAAATATCAAATTTAGGCAGCTCAACGAGAAACGGTGGTACTGAAAACGGCCAAAGCGAAAGTGAGATCTATAATATCTTTTGATTTTGATTCTAATCTTTAATTACAGACGTAGGAGAGAGTGTCGAGAAAGATTGGACGGTACTGGCTGATAATGTTTTTGCCATTCTCGAAGACAGAAAAACATCGTCCACAATGGAAACATTGTTTAGTGTAAGTTATGCCATATAGCTCATCTTTGCCATATAAATCATTCTATACAGATTTTTTTTCAGAAAGTTAGAGCAGTTTGCGATCGAAATCAAGCAAAAGATCTTTATGATAGGCTTGTTACCATAGTTGATAACTATGCAAAGCATTTGAGGGAGTCACTCAGTTCCGTGGAGCAAGTTCCTCTTTTGACGGACAACTGTGAGCAGTATTTGGCGAAATTTGGAAGTATTTGGGAATCGTATCCAGTTAAAACCGTAAGTTTGTGTTTAAAAGGTATTTATTTTTTTTGTTTTTCAGAATTTGATAAGGAACATTTTCTTATATCTCGACCGAATCGGATTGACAGGAACGAAGTGGAAATTCTACCTCTATGGGAAACCTTCATGAAAATATTTAAAACCACATTTTTCCCGGAAATTTCAAAAGATTTCAAAGCAACCAAACTGTTCAGTGCTCTCTATATGGCAATGCAGAAGATGATGGATAGGCATACAGTGGATAGTCCGTTGAGAACGTTAATAGAAATGCTGCAGACAGTACATGTTGGAGAAGAATTCTCCGGTTTTCTATTAACTCAACTTCGCGAGTTCTATGATCGGGAAAGGACTGAAAAAGTGCCTATTATGACGGTTTGTTTATTCCTGGATTAACTAAAACGTTTTGCCTTTTTAGTGCAACGAATACATGACCTATGCCGAAGACCAGATCAGTAGATATTCGAGTATGGTGAAAAAGAATTTCGACGAACCGACGGCGTTAAGAGATGTCCAATCAACAATGATGACTTGTTTGATCCAACAAGCAATTCCTGAAATATTATTGCATGGCTTTGACGCACTTCTCAGCTCCACCAACACTGTTGACATTAGCCGAATGTTCAATCTATGCCGTCAGTGTCCAGGAGGAGAAGACGAAGTTCGTGTGCAGTTCTCAAAGTACATGAAGAGTCGTGGAGAACAGATAATAACAACTTGTCCGGACAATGATCTTGTCTCTGAGCTTCTGGCATTCAAGAAGAAAATTGATTTTATTAGTAAGTTAGGAGTAATATATTCTGTTGAAATGTATTTTTTTTCAGTGAACGGGAGTTTCAAATCAGCCAGCGATTCAACAAAAATGAGACAATGTGTTTCTGATGCTTTTGAAACATTTGTGAACAAGAATGTTGATAGAGCAGCAGAGCTGATTTGTAAGAATGAAAAATATGGGTATTAAAATGCTAGTTTTTTACAGCCAAGCATTTCCATACCCTACTCCACAGCGGAAACAAGCATGTCACAGATGACCGTTCATTGGATCAAATGGTTGATGATGCGATTGTTTTATTCCGATATCTCCGAGGAAAAGATGTATTCGAGGCGTACTACAAACGAGGCTTGTCGAAGAGACTTTTCCTTGAAAGAAGTGCTTCTGTTGATGCTGAGAAAATGGTTTTGTGTAAACTGAAAACTGGTGAGCCTTTTTTTACCTTCATTTACTAAAAACTTGAATTCATTAAATTCAGAATGTGGCGCTGGATTTACATACAAGTTGGAAGGAATGTTCAAAGATATGGATGCTTCGGAAACTCTTGCTATATTATTCGTCAAATACCTTGCTCACATGAACAAACCAAAAGTCAATTTTAACGCCAGAGTAATCACTCCCGAATATTGGCCTACATACGAGGCTTATGAAATCAATATTCCGAAAGAAATGAGAGACACCCTCACAGATTTTCAAGATTTCTACCGCCTCCAGCACGGAAATCGTAATGTAAAATGGCATCATGGACTTGCTGCAGCTGTGGTTTCTGCCGAGTTCCGAGAGGGATGTACGAAAGAATTGGTGGCTACAATGTATCAATCAGTTATCCTTCTCCTCTTCAACAAATGCGAAACATGGACAGTAGCTGAAATCGTGGAATGTACGAAAATTCCAGAAGTGGAAGTCGTCAAGAACTTGGTTGCGCTGATCGGAGGACGCGATAGACCTAAGATTCTGAAAATGGCCGATGTCGAAAGTTCGGCGAAGGTGAACATTTTTTTGTTTGTTTTTTTTTGTGAAAAAAAAATTATAGAAAGATCTACTGGATTCGGTAAAAACCGGAAAGTTCGTTGTGAACTCTGGATTCGTTGACAAACGTTGTCGTATTCGTATCACCCAAGTCAACATCAAGACTCCAGTGGAGGAGAAGAACGACGTCGAGCAGGAGGTCAATCAAGATCGTCAATGTAATATCGATGCTGCCGTTGTTCGTATCATGAAGGCGCGTAAGGAATTGCCACACGCTACTCTTATAAACGAAGTTCTACAGCAATTAAAGTGAGGAGCCCTTTCTAAATGACATGCATATCTTTTAATTCTCCTTATTTCAGATTCCCAGTCAAAGCAGCAGATATCAAGAAACGTATCGAAGGACTCATCGAGCGTGATTACATCTCTCGTGATCCTGATGATGCGACCATCTACCGATATGTTGCTTGAGTCTCTTTTGCATGTTGTTTCTTCAAAAAATGTTTCTATCGATGCCACCGGTTTTCATAATCTCGTTGTCGTTCAACTCAGAAGTTCTAAAAATCTTTTGTCTTTTTTAAAAAATGTTCGGTTCTCAAATGTGTACCGAATGTATCATACCTGTTTATTTTTTTTGTTTTTTTTTTACATTGCTCTGCCTCCTGTCGGTGATGTCGGTGATCCAATGAAGTATCCCGTGATTAAATTTATGAAAAATCTTTCTCATTTATTCCTTTTTTTTTCATTCGCTACAACGGTAGAAAACGCCGACCTTGTTTTATCTTTTAAACTTTGGTTCCAGAAGAAAAGTTCAGGAATTCTAGAATTTGTTTGCAGGAAAGAAACATGGTGAAAACTTGCTCGAACTGTGGTAGCACGGAGATCGACGAGGATGCTGCGAGAGGAGACGCCACCTGCACGACTTGTGGAACTGTCCTCGAAGAGTCGATTGTAGTGACAGAGAATCAGTTTCAAGAACGAGCTGGAGGTTCAGGACACACTCTAGTTGGTAAGTAACCGAGTCATGAAGGATATTGATAAGTTTCTTTGTTCTCAGGTCAATTCGTGTCAGCAGAACGCGCTGCTGCTAACAACTTCAATGGCATGGGTTCACAAGAGTCTCGAGAAATGACATACGCTAAAGGAAAGAAAGTTATTGATGAATTAGGAAGTCAGCTGCGAATAAACGCACATTGCATGAACACTGCTTTCAATTTCTTCAAAATGTGTGTCTCTCGAAACTTGACTCGTGGACGAAACCGAGCATCTGTTGTTGCTGTCTGTTTGTATATCACTTGCCGACTTGAAAATACAGCTCATTTGTTACTAGATTTTAGTGATGTTACACAGGTCAGTTCACTACCGTTTCTACTCTATGTACGTATACCTCGCTTCCAGATTAATGTCTTCGACTTGGGAAGGAATTTGAACTTCATCTCTCGATCATTGCGAATCAATCTACCTGCTACTGATCCATGTCTCTACATTATCAGATTCGCTTGCGTTCTAGATTTCGGCGATAAGCAGAAAGAAGTTGTAACTCTGGCAACAAGATTAGTTCAACGAATGAAACGAGACTGGATGTCAACTGGAAGACGTCCAACAGGAATCTGCGGAGCTGCTCTCCTCATCGCTGCCAGATCCATGAATTTCAATCGAACTATCAACGACATTGTACGAGTTGTTCATATCAGTGAGAGTGTCATAAGGAAGCGATTAGACGAGTTCAGTCAAACACCGTCTGGAAGTTTGACTATTGACGAATTCTCTAATGTTGACCTAGAACATAGTGAAGATCCTCCAGCGTATAGAGAAGCAAGACGAAAGGCTCGTGAAGAACAACTGAAAAAGGAGGCCGAACAAGCAGAATCAATGAGCTATCAGCTAGGAGAAATGGAAGCTCATGTGGAGGCAGCACTCGATAAAAAGAGGAAGGAGAAGTTCTCAAAAAGCCCATATGCGAAGCTGATTAGTGAAGGTTTAGGTTAGTTATAAAATAGGAATGAAGATATTCAATAAATCATTTACGGAGAATTCAGGATTGGAGAAAGGTGCTGATGAAATGGTCCGTAATGAAATACTCAACAGTGTTTTCGACGCGGTAGAAGAAGAAGAGCCTTGGTGGGTTTTAGATGCGCCAATTTTTATAATCTTTTTTTTCAGTTCATCGAATTCGCTTGAAAAGTACGACAAGTACCGTCCGTCTTTGGAATCTCTCGGAATCAAACCTGCTGAAACTCAGGAGGAATTGCCTCGAATATCGAGCATTCCCGTTGACGATGTTGATATAGAAATCTCCGACTCTGAAATTGACTCTTACATTCTTACTGAAAGTGAAGTTGCAATAAAAACTGATTACTGGATGAAAGCCAATGGAGAAGTGATGAAGGCTATTGAGGAGAGAAAAAGAGAACGGGAAGAGAATGGAGATTTCAAAAGGAAGAGAAAGTCCACTAAGAAAACGGAAACAGTTTGCACTTCAGCGGCAAGTGCAGTTGAAAAAGTGATAGCGGAAAAGAAACTGTCTAACAAGGTGAACTACGAGATGTTGAAAGACTTGGAGACGATGGGTGGCAAGAGAAAAGCAAACCAAGACAGCCCTGTCAAAACATCACTATTACCTATGAAACTAGAAGCGTTGGAAGTGACACCGGATAATCTTAGCAAAAGTGAGAGAATCGCGAGAGGCAAGAATCTACGCATATCGAAAAAGGGTGACTTCGCCATCGATAGAATCCGGAGCGCATTCGATCTAAAGAATGAACTTTCTGATGCTGAGGTAACTCCGACGAAATCTACACCAATCCTGAAAACGGAAACTCCTACGCCTTCTGTTACTCTTCCCATCACACAGAATGCTGACGTAACGATAATAGGTCAATCAAAGTCAAACCCTGCTGCAAAGTCAAGATACGCGAAAATGAAACCTATCATTGGAGCTAAAAAACTCGCATCTGTAAGTTTTCCAAACGATTGTCCCTCACAATTTGAGCATTACAGCTTGCTGATGTCAAACACGTAGCAAAGCCTCCTCTACCATTAGATCAAAATGAAAGCGATTCAATGGTTGCTTCGGTCGATGATCAACCTCCAATTTCAACTGATGGTGAAGCTGATCTTAGTCATCAAGAATCCATCATCAAATCATTAGAACCTAGCAAAAACGAGGTATGAACCTCTCAAAAACGAGATCTTTGAAAACGACGGCAATAAACCAAATTCAGACCCATAATGAAACTCCGATTTCCACGCCTGCAATCGAAGAATCGAAGCCAGTGGAAGTTAAGTCCAGATATGCAAAAGCCAAACCGAACTTGAAAGGACCGAAACCGAAGGTTTGCTTTTCTTTGGGCGTAAAAATCGAACTTTGAAATATTTTCAGATTACACCTGCAACGGTATCTGAGACTGCTGAGCCATCCGCCAAAAAGACCAAGATCTGATACGCTAAGCCACCAATTTCCAACACTTTATCATTATCCGCTTCTGTATCATAATCTACTTTTTTCTGAATTTTCCACCTAGTTAACTTTGATTCAATTTTCTTTTTTCACAACAATACTGGTTCATTTTCTAATCTAACACGAACGTTCTCATCTTGCTCTCATCATTTGTTTTTTTTTGTTGTTGTTTTGCGCCTGATACTGTTTTGAACATCACATTCTCAGACGTTGTTGTTATCTCTATCTTGCTTTCTGCTTTTATAGGCTTTATAATGAAGAACGTAAATGTTTTGTAACGCTTGAAAACAAAAAAAAAACAACAAATCTAGATCTAGCAAATATGATTTCAGATATACTTATTGGCCAAGGCAAGGACTTTCGAGAACTGCACACTTCCTCTATTCGCCATAAGCTTCGTTGGAATTGGAGCAGTGATTCTGTTACCGAGCGGATTTCCTTCTTCATCCAGCAACACAATCATATTCTTGTCAGTCACCGGGACGCCATGCTTTCTATAGTGTGCATGGGTGTTGGCTCCGACTACGTAGGCTTTACGCATTTGACCTCGAATCGCGACAAGGATCTGAAAACAAACATTGAGATTGAGCAGATTATATCATCCAACCTTGTCTCCTAGTTCGGCATGCGGCATGTGCTTTGCACGTCTTCCTTGTTTGTAGACGTGAATACAGTACGGCAACTTTCCAGTCGTGTCAGCTTCCTTGCCAAGAGCCGAGTTGTCAACCACGTTTAAGCGAGTTCTGCGATGAATTCCCATGCTCGGAGCTCTGGTTCGATGCTTTGACAACTCGTATCTGTATAAAAATAGATAACTTTGAATCTAATTTTTACTAATATGTCTTGGCGATTCGGAAGAACTGTTTATTCAAAAAAAAAATAAGAAAACTATTTAGCGTGCTGCTTCAAACATAGAATGCTCCGTTCCACACTTTTTTAGATCGCACATCTTCTGGGGCGTTGACCATTTCATATGCACAGTGTCGACATCCACTTCCACAACACTTTCCTTTTTGTAAATGATGTGAAATCGTGAAAACTGAGTAGCCCGTCCGTGGATCTAGGTAAGTGAGCTTCCGATCATTGATAGCTTTCATGTGTGCCATATGAATCGTCCTTTCTTCACTGGTAAGCCCATCGTAATTCACCCACGGAACTTTGGCTTTGTTCACCGCTGCTTCAAAAAGCGTATAGTTCGCGATCATCTCTCCTTTCTTATGCTCAACCAGTTCATAGCCATTTCCTTCAGACTTTGGCTTGTAATAAACCGGAGCAGCATTTGCTTTGGAAAGTTTGATGCCTGTTTTGGTTACAATAACATCGTAGTCCTTTCGTTCCAGAGAAGACTTTTCATCAGGTTTTGTTGAGAATTGACGACTGCAAAGAGAACTGTTACAACCAAAGTCGGCGTTGTTTATCGGTGAGTGAATAGAATAAAGTTCTCAACTACGGACATAGTTGTAACAATTCCCTAGCAGACATTAATTCAAGAAAGGTTTTTTTCTTCCTCAGCGCCAAGAGTCTATTCTATTTCTAGAAAATTTCACTTACTCTGGTTGTGGCCACCATCTGCCTGAGGCACTGCATCTTGAAGCTATTGATGTGTTGAAAACGTTCGATAGTAATCGAGAGAGCATTCCGCTGCTGCTCGGTAGATTGGCCATACCTGCAAATGTACTTTTTCAGCAAAAAGTTTAAGGAAAGGTTAAAAAAGAGCGAGAGCGAGTGAAATGTGCTTAATTCGACGCGCAGATGTTTCCGTGTGTTTGCACAGCTTACATTTTGAATTACGACAATTGTTGCCGCAGCTTTTTTGAGACTGCGAAATACATTTTCCAATTTTAGTCATTTGAAGTCTTCTTGATTGATTATTTTTCCCAATTATAATAACGACCTGCTTTTCAGTGAGACTCATTTCGGAACATGCGCCAGTATGTTCGCGTCTAATAGACAACTTGGAAACGGAAACTCGGACATACACCGCCGTCGCGAACAGGTACGGCCAACTTTTTGAAACTATATTTATCGATTTTCCCTCGTTTTTTCTGATTAGCTAGGGTTTTATATCATCAATGAGATTTAACATAGTTCTACATCTTCTCTACATTATGATTCTTGCTTCTATAGCTTTCTGCATAAACCTCCTGTTTTTTAAAGTAGAAAATGGCGGATAAAGGGAGCTTGCCAAGTCTTTTCTTCCTAAATAAATTTCATCAATGCATATTGTGTCCCGCACCTTTTGTAAAAATTGTTCCACCTATGGCTTTCATGTCTGTCACTTCTCTCCCATTAATTTCTCCGTTCACAAAGAGCCAAAGTCTATTTTAACATGCATAAAAATTAGAGGAAAATATTAGTATTTTTTTTTCATCCGTTTTCCGACCTCTAGTCAAAAATCTAGAAGCTATGGGGAGTTTTAATCATTTCCTTAATCCCTTTCAAATTTGGAGCTATAGCGAAAACAAAAATATATTATGTATATAGAAATAATCCTGCTACAAATTCGTTTAAATCTATGTTTGCTCCTGCACCAGATATGACTTTTTTAGTTTTTGAAACTGGATACAGACACAAAATCTAGAAAATTAACCTCACATTTTCCTATTCTAATTAACTCAATATTTTCGGATCCTCGAAGTTTCGAGTTTAAAAACCTTAAAGGTGGGGGGACAGGAGATTTTACGGGGGATTTTTGGGGCCAGAGTATGCATTCTACCGTGACGGTGTACAACGCTTAATGTCACTCTGCGTACAGCTGTCGTCCTCGCCTTTATGTATGCAATCGGGCGGCCGCTTTCTCTTTGCCCGTGTAGCTCAGTCGGTAGCGGCGCCGCACCCTCAATCATCGCCCCAGCAAGTTCAACTTCTCGAGGGGCATATTTAAACGAAATATCGGGAACATTATTTTTTTCATGTCCCCCCACCTTTAAAGTGGCTTACCGTAAATCCTGTATTAGAAGGGGACCCTTTAATAGAAAGGTTCTTCTAATTGAGGGGCCCCTGAAATAGAAGGACCCTCCGGAAGCACCTTGGAACAATAGAAGGGCAGCCCTTCTAATACAGGTTTTTTTCCGAAAATGCCGAAAACGCGTTTTATACAATATGAAGACAATTTCACAGATAAAGTTCAATTTGATGCTTCTAATATGTTCGTACCTGTCCATCGCTTTTCCGAAGATTTTTCGCTTCCCATCATTGCGCCAACCTTCTCCGCGTCCTTATCAAACAGCAGACTGTCCGACACAGTTTTTTTCTTTTTCTCCAACTTTCACTACCAAAAATATCAGAAACACATGTTCTCAACATTCTAATAAAGCGTTTCTGGATTTCAGAAGCAAGCGAACGTCGCGCTCCGAATGATGACGTCGTTCGCACAGACCGTATTCTATGTTCTGGCTGGATTGTTCAACGTATTTCTTCTCTACTTTCGAAAAACAAACAGAGCGGTTAGTCATTTGGCGCTTTCAATGAGATATTTAAACCGAATTTTCAGTATTGCAAGTATCAAGTTGTCAAATATCACAGTAACATACCCATGTCTCCTCTCACAACGCACAGATTATGTAAGCATTTTTTCAGCGGTTTATCAATTATTTAAATAAGTTTTTAGTGACTGTTAAGAGGAAAATCCTTGTCTTGGATCTCGACGAAACGCTCATTCATTCTCACCACGATGGTGTGCTTCGCCAAACGGTCAAGCCAGGAACGCCGTCTGATTTCACGATACGGGTATACATTTTTTGTGTTTCTGCTTTTTTCGAAAGTTCTTTTTTCCAGGTTGTGATCGATCGTCATCCGGTAAAATTCTCAGTTCACGAACGTCCACATGTTGATTACTTCCTTACTGTCGTCAGCCAATGGTACTGTTTCTCAGACATTGTATTCTATTAATTGAAATGCTCTAGGTATGAGCTGGTAGTGTTCACAGCAAGTATGGAAGTATATGGATCATCTGTAGCTGATAAGCTCGATCGTGGACGTGGGATTCTCAAGAGACGGTAAAAACTAGCTCCTGGACGTTTCAAAACCCGACGTTTCAGAACTTTTCTGCATTTTTGCATAGAGATTTTTGCACACCAAATGAGTATTGCTCATTTCAATTTGTTGTTTTTCTGATATCTCATTCGTTTTTGTCTACCGTACTTCGAACAATGATAGGTTCACACTCGGAAACTGTCCAAAAATCGAAAAAATAAAATTGAATATTTCAAAAACAATGTCATTAAAACAAAGTATGCAAAATGCCTCAGAATGGCCAGCAAAATTTTGGCGTACTTTTAGACACCGTTTTTGAAATTTTCATATTTTCCCGATTTTTGGACAGTTTCCGAGTGTATAACCTATCATTATTGGAAGTACGATGAAACGACGTGGTTACTAAACTTCCAGAACCCAATAAACTATTTGTTCATATATTTCTGAATACTTTTTTCTAGGTACTTCCGACAGCATTGTACCATGGAGGTTGGCGGCTATACAAAGGATTTATCGGCAATTCATCCAGACCTTTCCAGTATTTGTATCCTCGATAACTCCCCAGGAGCCTATCGAAAGTTCCCACGTTAGTGTCTTCATACATCGAGTTCAACCTAATTCTGATATTTTGCAGATAACGCAATCCCAATTCCCTCCTGGTTCTCCGATCCAAACGATACGTGTCTTTTGAATCTCCTTCCGTTCCTCGACGCTCTACGGTTCACATCAGACGTGCGAAGTGTTCTCTCCAGAAATATGCAGGTGCTGCCAGAAACACAAACCGTCCAGTACTACTGAATAGGCAAAAACAAAGGATTATACCGTAGTTTCATATCTCAATTCGTTTCAATCCCAGTCCCTCAAGTTTTCCCCAGTCTCATCCTTCCTCCTGAATCATATAATTGTTCTTCCTGATTTCAAAAGTCGTAGGACCGTACCTCCCCATTTATCCGAAAGTATTGAAACGGGTTTTACACCTCCTTCTCTTTTTTCCTTCTGAAAATGCGTTTCTTGATTCCTGCTAAGTATTTATTAATGGTGAAAATGGTGTACGTTTAGGATAGCAATTCACTACATCTCCCATTTCTAATTCCCCTTATAGAATCGACATTTCTAGAATTTGTTCTTTTTCTGACACTACCTGCATGTTCCCCCATCTCCCGTTTCCCCATTTTCTCAGAACTGCAGTTTTACATATTTATAGATTCATAATTAAATTTAAAATTGACAAGTGCTACAATTTAACTGTACTTTTTCTCCCTACACACGATCAGTCTTTTTTATATTATATATACACATATAAATAATTTATTGACAAATTATAATCGACATTAATATGATTCACCTCGCCTCCCCACATCTAAAAGTTTTAAAAAATCGGGATATAATTAATAGATGATGCGTTGAAATCAATAGTCAATGTCCTCGAGAATGTCTCTCTTGTGTGTTCCGCCGAATCGAAGCATACGGCATCTGAAAATTCATATAAAACGTTTTTTTTTCAATCTCAATCAGTCTCGCGCACATGGTTAAACTGCTCTGGTAAGCTGTTGCGCTCTATTGAGAAAGTGGCGTAGCGAAGTTTTAGGCCGTTAAATTTCAAATTTTCGGAATTTTTAGTGGATTTTCCAGCTTAAAATCACTTTTTCATGGTCTCAAAACGTTTCCATGTCACCTTCTCGATGGAGCGCAAAAGCATAGCATAGTAAGTCGAAGTATGTGCACGGGGTTGCAACAAAGTACATGCATTCCGATTTATCCCAGTGTTCTTGGGCGCACTGCGGCTCGCGACGCGGCTGGAATTTGTTTTTTACCTCCGTGTTACTGTAGTATTACGGTTCTTCGCATTTGAGCGCATTTACAACAAAACGACGAAAAACACCGCGCAAAATCCCGCTTTTAATGAAACTCACTTCTCCGGATAAAAAATACACCACGACTCGACGGATGGTGCAAGAGCACGAGACTCCCGATTGACAATGAGAGTTGGGAACGAAGAAGTCGTTGAAACGAATAGTGCGAGAAGCAGCATGAGAGCACGGAATGCGTTCATTTTTAATAAGGGTTCTGAAATAAGAAAAGACTATTGTGGGCTTCGAGAATCTCGTATTTTGCGATCATTGAGAAGATATAGAGGATATTAGTCGCGGCTTAAAGTTTTAAGAACATCCGTTTCGAAAATCTAAAGACCAGGAATTAGTACATTTTGGACAGAGATCTTTTCCAAAAATAAGAGGATTTTAAATGAAAGTCAAACAAATTTGGAATTTGCTTTCTCAAGCTCTGGTCAACAAATAATGGTTTAAAAGACCCTCTTGAAGAACAATTCGTTGCGAAATGAGAGTTTTATTATGCTGGTATGTAAAATCGGAGCTGTGGAAGAGAAACAGCGATGGCCGTGGCTAAATATCCTATAATTACAACTACCGTAATCGAAATATTGTTTTATTTTTTAAAACTAGATTTTCACTTTTTCTGTTTTTTTCCAATTGCTGAAAACATTGACCGAAAATGCACAAAATCGAAATAAAAAATCCGGAAGATAAACATATTTTCAGGTTACGGTAGTTGTCTATGTGGGATCTTTCGGCGAGCTGCAAAAGAAAAGATACTAACTGTAAGGAAAAAAAGTCAGAACCTGAATAAGTACTGAAAACAAGTGCAACAACATACAAGAATCCAACAGAATCCGTGAGAATGAGAATTCGTGTGGGAATTCAAACTTTGATTTATCGAAGTCATCAAAAAGTCTAAACTGTTCTGTTCAGGGGATCAAAACTACTGGTCAGTTGATGAATCTAATCAAAAATGTGTAGTTCCAGAACCTTGGAGCTCGAAGAACGGGATTGATTCATAGTTAACTGCAGTAGTAGATATCTAATAAATGATTCAAAAACTTTTTTTTTAATTTGTGACTTGAATGCCTTTTGGATATGACTCCTGAAGTCAACTTCAGCTCAAAAACAAGTCTTTAAGAGTCAGAAAATCGACTCTTTAAGATTTGAAAAAAAAACAAACAAGCCGGGAGGAGAAGTGTTTTGGTTCTATTGTTTTTTTGGTTACGTGGAGAGAGCTCCAGCTGAATTTGACCCCCTTTTTCACCTACTGCTATCTAACAAGGGAAGTGTTTTCAGACGGGCTTTGAGAATTTGCTGAAAATTTGTACAAAGGTACTTTCGAACATGCTGAAAACGGTTTCAGCAATATCTCGGTCCCATTCCCAATAGGAATCAAAATATGATCTCTCAAAGTGTTTTCAGTACTAAATTTATGCCACAAACGCGTATTTTTCGAGGTTTAAAACTCGATTTTAGGATGTTTTTGAATACGAAACTCATTTTCAAACATTACTTCATCTGAAATAGTTTTTGGAGAGTGATTTTTTTACAGGGAGTGATTTTTTGAAAATTTCTTGAAAAGTTTGAAAAAATGTTCCAATCATTCAGAAACATTAAAAATATCATTCTGACAAAATTAGGTCTTTTGGCTCTGAAAATCTCAAAAGTGTGTTTGTCGTGAGAACTTTATCTATCACAAACTTCTTAAATATTGCTCGAAATTAACTGAAACCTATAGAAATAGATTCAAGTCTTGTAAGTGATCGATTTAACAGCACCCCACCTCAAAAAGAGCAAAATTGAGCGATTTTCAAAGACTGAAATCGTCGTTTTTTAACGATAGGATAATGTAAGGACAGGTCGAAAATATCATTTTTAAATTTTTCATCAAGTTCTCATAAAATACTTTTTTACTTGGAAAACAATTGAAATTCGTCAAGAAGTATCAAAAAGTGTCTAGAGGGCCGAACTGGAAATCAAAAATTGGTTTCAAAAAACGCAAAAAAAGTTTTACCACAGTGGGGGTGGAACCAGCATTGTCACCCTTTTACCACAACACCACACAGCCAATATTTTCTTCTAATTAGAATAAATCGGAGTTATTTTTTCAAAGACAATACACAATCCACAGAACTATTAGTAGAAAACTCTATAAAGCATTGTTAGTGATCAGAATACCCTGTATGAATAGCATTACAACTGCTGAGGAACGGGTCGTTCTTGAGGCGCAATATCTAGCAAACGGGCCGTCGCCGGCGCGGAAACTGGCGCGGCGACTGCTCTTCATTTAGCAGGTGCCGCCCCGGCGCTCGCCCGTTATCCACCAGTCGCGCCTTGCCTGTGAACGCGAATTTGGTAGAGGAGGGAGGGGGAACCTGAAATCGCTTGTGTGGCAAAATCGGCCCAAATTTTCAGACGAAGATTTTCAGGTTTCTGGTGAGAATGGCCTAGATTTTCTGTCATCGTATAGACGATGTCTCAAACTATATGTACTGAAATTTTCAGAAAATTCTCAATACCCGTCTGAAAACACTTCCCTTGTAAGCATCAAATCTCAAAAAAGCACCGAAATGAAATTGGGGAATTGGGCCTTATTGTTAGAATATGATTTTCGTCATGTGTTCCGAAAATCGACGAAGGAAAACTGATTGGAATCAGAAGGCAGAACGAAGTTATGTAAACAGATTACGGTAATTGAAAAAAGCTCTTTCCTAGAAAATGGTTATTTAGAAGTTGGTGTCAAGTTGGTGTTTTGAAATGTTCTGATTTTCAGGTGTTGAGAAGTTCATTGAAAATCTACAGTAATCTAATTTTCTTTCAAAGAGCCAAATTTTGAGCTCTCAATACAATTTTCTCCATTATTTTTTGTGTTTTTGGATTGTTTGTCTGTTTGATCAAAAAATATCAACAAAACTCGAAAAAAATTTTTGATCAAAAAAAATCACATAAGAGTCCCCCCTTATGTGTTTTTTGAAATTTTCAAAACTTGTGGAATGACAGGCCCGCCGGGCCGGGCCTCCGAAATTCGGGAAAAAGCCCGGCCCGGCCCGGCCCGGCACGGCCCGTTACAAGTATGAATTTCTGAATTTCTGAATTTCTGAATTTCTGAATTTCTGAATTTCTGAATTTCTGAATTTCTGAATTTCTGAATTTCTGAATTTCTGAATTTCTGAATTTCTGAATTTCTGAATTTCTGAATTTCTGAATTTCTGAATTTCTGAATTTCTGAATTTCTGAAATTTTGGAATTCTGAATTTCTGAATTTCCGAATTTCTGGATAATAAAAATGGCAAAAATTACAGTAATCCAGAAATCTACCGTAACCCAAAATTTTTTCGAATTCCGAAATTTCCAAAAAAAATCGGCATTTTGAGATTCCGAAATTCTGGATTTCTGAAATCTGAAATACCGAAATTGTCTTCTTAAAATATTTTTCGGTTAAAATTTTTTTTTTTGAGAAACGTTATAGACCACCTGAATTGGGCTGAATAGGGCGATCTGGAAAGTGATCAGCTTCGACCACATGTTGCCATAACTATGGCTACTTAAAAAAAAGTTTTTTTTAAAATTTCAACTTCTGAATGTAATCTAGATTCACTATATTTTGAAGGCTTTCAGATCCAAAAACTTTAAGGCACACTTTCAGTTCTTATCGTAAAACCTATATTAGAAGGGCCTCTCTAATATAATAGCCTCCGAGAGGGACTCTGAAAGATAAAAGGGTCCACTGTATTAGAAGGGCATACATTAGATGTACGTTTTTCGTTTGAAATTCCGGAATTTGCACATTTTCACAGAAACTTGTTCTAAAACTGATATTTGTTCTAAAAATTGCTTAATTTTGGTGAAGCTTTCAGATTTTCAAGAATTTTGAAACGAATTTTTTGATCACGAGTTTTGAGAAAAAAACCGAAAAAATAGAAGGGCCCACTCTAATTGAAGGACCTCTGTGATAAAAATACCCTCTGGAGGTACATTCGAGCGTTTAACTATATTTTCTAAAAAATTTCGATTCAAAGTTCATTCCGGGCGGAGTTTGGAAAGAGCAGATGAAGGGTGTCAATGGAAACTGGTGAGAGGACCCATAAAAATTAAAGGACCCATACAGTATGGGCCATACTATTTAAATGTGGTTTGAGGGGGTGCAAATGCGTTGAAAATGGGTCTTGTGGTTTCGTTTGTTGCTCATGACAAAATGCCCGACTACTGTTGCTAGAAAAATTTAAAATCTCGAGAAATTTCACTCATAAAATTGTGCAGAATTGGTAAGGTGAATGGCTTCAAAATTCGATCGAAAATTATGATTTCTGCAAGAAATCTTTACGATCGAACAAAGATTCAAAATTTATTCTTAGAGTAAGAAGAGTGACTCGTTGATGAATTATATAGACGACACAACATCTTTTCAATATAAGAAAATGGGTTGAGAATGGAATAAAACAGACAGAGAATGATCTCATTCTTTTTCTTTTGCTTCTTCTGGAGTCACTTTCACTTTTCAAAATTGGCTTTCATCCACGAAGCTGTGTATAGCCTTCGCCGTCGTCAACAATGAATGAGATGAGAGACCTCACGGAATTACGGAATTCGATAAAGAAAATAAAAACACCGGGGACTCGGTATTCAAATTGAATGGCCTGATTTTATTTATTTTTCGCTGTATTATGTTCTAGATTGAAATCAGAATCGGTAGACACCAATTAAACGAAAGGAGATAAGGCTTGAGCCAAACAGACACAAGGAGGAAACAATCCCATTTTTCAGAACCATAGATTTTTCAACTGATAGAAGAAAAAGAAGGCGTGTATGACGTGACGTGGAAGATGGTGTAAAATGAACAACGAAATCTGAAGAGAAAAGAAAAGGGCGGAGCTTGGAGAGGGCGTGGGGTTAATGGAAACTGGTGGGAGGAGGACCCATAAAAATTAAAGGAATCGTACTATTTGGATGAGGTTTGAGGGGGCAGCAAATGAGTTGAAAATGGGTTTTGTGGTTTGGATTGTTGCTCATAGAAAATTGCACGACTACTGTAGCTAGGAGAAATTTCGAAATCGTGAGAAGTTTTACTCACATAGCTGTGCAGTTTGGAAATTCGATCAAAAATTATGATTTTGCAAGAAATTTCAGAAATATTCCCATACCCTTTCAGGACTATTTTGAAGATTGATAAGATTTTGAACGAAGTGTGGGTGATTTTAGGGTATGTGAAATGTATTATTCCGGTACCAAAAAATTGGAACCGTGGCAGAGAAACATCGTCGGCCGTGGCCGAAGGTCCCACAAGGAAATCTACCGTAACTTAAAAATACATTTATTTTCGTTAATTGTTTTCTCAATTTTCGTGCGTTTTCCCTCATTTTTAGAAAAATTGACCGAAAACTCACTAAAATCGAGATACAATGAAACCTGTAATAGAAGGGCCCCTCACACTTTCAATTTTAAGCTCAATTACCTCGGTTCCTGTGAAAGTCATCAAAAATGTGTCCACTGATAAAATGTTTTTCATAATATCACCAGCATTTTATCAATTGACAAAATTTCGATGGCTTTTATAGAAACCGAGATAATAGGGCCCTTCTATCTCAGTTTTACGGTAATCTCAGAAAATATAGTAGGTTACGGTAGCTGTCGTTGTGGGACCTTCGGCCACAGCTTCTATTTTTTGTTCCAGAATAATTGAAAAATTGCCAATCTACTGAAAAATCTAAGGCCGTGCACTCAAGTGCCATATGGGAAAAATTAATATTTTCTAAGTAATTTCAATTTCCTATAAATGAATTACTTATAACTTATTCACTGAATGCCCTAAAAACTACACTAGATTCAAACTTCGTTCAAACCGTCACCTTCGAGCCAATGTATCTCAATTTCTGTAAATGATACCAAAAACTGATTAACTGATAAAATGTCATTAGAGTTTACGGTATCTTACTTGGGACGGACCGAAAAATAAACATAAAGATGAACAAGTCTACAAAACTTTAATCATTTTCCTTATATACATCTCTGAATTTCTGAGTCAGAAGATTTCCAGAAACACTATATACCGAGAACAAATGAATTCAAAGGCTAGTATCGGAAGCACTTATCAACTCTAGAAAGTTCTCACGATTCCAAGTCTCGTGCAATATGTTGTGACATGCGTGGAAACTGAATGACTGGATGAAGACGTCAGGCATCACCTTCAGAATCTAGAAGAGATTCTGAAAGTTACTAAGGAGCCAGAAACTTATTCATCACATGTCCGTTGATCTTTTTGGCCCACACACACATTCAGGAAATTGAGAGTGAATATGATGTGCTCGAAATATCAAAATGAGATTGAGTAGACACGGACATTTGCAAAAAAGAGAGAAGAGGATATATATTTTGGAAATCTCAACCAAATCAAAAAGGAAATATGAGTCGTTCGGTGACAGGATGGGGCACACCCTAAATCTACAAAATGACGTTGGAGAATATTCATTACGAACGATTCATAAAAGATGTCATTCTGGAAACTCTTCTACTTTGATTCATGTTTGTTTAGTTCTGGAGAAAGAGAAATCATATTAAAAATTAAAATTGAAAAGGAGCAAACTGATTTTTCTGAGCAGATGGACAGATATATATTGAAATAGAAAACCTGTAAAAGAAGGGCCCACACACTATCAAGTTTGAGATAATTTATCTCGGCTCCTGGTAAAGATATAAAAATTTATAAACTGATAAAATGATTGTAATATTATGATAAACAATTTATCAGTTGACACCTTTTTTCATAACTTGGACAGGAACAGAGATAAATTGACTCAATCTTGACAGTGTGGGGGCCCTTGTATTACAGGTTTTACATTAATAAAAAGCGAAACACTTATCTAACCAAATGAAGGAACACCTTGTATTTTATTGTTTATCATCCTTTTTTATATGTTCCAAACCAATGAATTGCTCATCATTCTGACGATAACAACATTACAAATGGGAGTTGTCTCGTCCCAGAAGTCGAAACCATTGTTGCCATCCACGTCACCATGAGTCGTCCCTGGCACCACCTGATGCGATAGACTAGGAAGGAAGGAAATAATTTGGAAAGTTTTTCATAAAAGTAAAGCTTGTCCGGAAATATGATGGCGACCAGTGATGGGATTTGATAAACTTCGTATATGAACTTAGGTTGAATTGAACGAAGCGGCATTTTTGAGAGTTGGGACGATACGAAAATGGGATTTTCAAAAGCTTGAACTTCATTACATTGATTTCGGAGATTTTGAAATGTATATTTCTAGTAATTTCAACTCCCAAAACTTCTAAAATTTCAATTTCCGAGTTCCAGAAAAAGTTGAACTTTTGAATTTTTGAATTCACTTATCTTTAAACTAAACATCTCAAAATTCTGAATATCTTAATTTCCGAGATACTGAATTCAGAAAATACTGAACTTCTGAGTTTTTGAATGAGGAATTCCTCTGATTTCTAAATTCCCAATTTTCTTAGACCCCGATCAAACGTAGTCCCTAGATAAAAAGCTCCGCGTCACTTCGAAACCGCGAAATTTCGAAACTGTGGGAATACAAGCGATAGGACCAGTTTCCGACTACAAAAATGGTTCTAGGGTTTTCAAACATGCTTTTTCTGATGGAACACATTCCGAAAATCCGAAAATTCAAGAGTCTTCTTCTTTTGGGAACATCAAATTTTTCGAGTTTCAGAATGTGTTCTATCAGAAAACGCATATTTAAAATCCCTAAAATTTCTTTTGTAGTCCGAAATTTAACTATTCGTACGTATTACAAGGAATGACCGGTTTCGAAGTGACGCGGAGCCAAAAAAAACAGGATAACTGAAAAATGGGCGTTTTTGGACTGCTCTGAATGGTAATTTTCAACATTTCGTGACAATTCTCCGGAAATTTAATATTAGTGTTTCAATTTAAAAATTGACCCGCATCTTTTCTGAATACTTAACGAAGATTCTCAATTTTCGATTATTTAGGACTTGACTCTATTCAAGAAGGAACATCACGCGATAAGAAATCAGTTGATTCTCAAAAATTACGAAACGTCTTCATCAGTGACCTAGATTCTTTTCACTCTTTTTCCATGGATCTTTCTCACAATTTGATGACGTCCAGAAGAAGAAGTGACCACAAAACATTCTGCACCTATTTTCATCGTATTCAAAAAGATATAAAGATATTTACTGATTTATTTGCTCCAAAATGAAATGGAAAGTACTGGGGGAAATTCGGGAAGAGAGAGAGAGAGACTGGGTGAAAACATGGTTACCTGTAGAGAAACCATCGAAAATTAAATACATTATATATATAATTAGATTACAATTTGAAAAATGAGATGGTATCTAGGGAAAAAAAGAAACAAGAGCAAATGGAAGTGTTCTTGTTTTTCGGAAGAGAGACTCCTGTAAAGAGAATGACTAGATTTTGTTTGTTGTGACAGGGTAATGAGATAAAAAGAAAATATGTAGGAAGAGAATGAAGAGGATATGTCCCCGTGTAAACAAACACATACGGGACATCTAAAAGGTCGAATGAACTCATCTATATCTCTAATTGGAAGAAAATGTACAAGACTTGATACATAAAAGACTGTGTTGGGAAGAAGAAGTGAATGAGAAGAGGGAGGACAAAAGTGAACGGATTCGATGAGGTTGTGATCAGTGAAGAGGTCAGCAGAAGTCGGTCACATTGAATACGTTGATGTCACGATTCATACCGCAGCATCTGGAAAAGTTCGATGTTTTTGAGGAATCGGAGAACTTGATATTTTCTATAGGCAAAACAAATTAAGGCATTAAGCCAGGATCAAGGATTTGTAGGAAGGTTTGACCGATCTACATGACGTTACTATCTGTTTGTACTAGAGACAAACATCCGAGAACTACGAGCAAATACAAGGAAGTTCTTATGACTAACACTACACGCTCTCCCACAGAAGAATTACGGATTGCAAATTTAGTTTGGATGGTTGATAATTCTAATAATAAATTAATTGCGATATGTGGTAGATAATTCTAATTATTAATTAATTGCGCCGAAGACGCGCCAGTCAGCTGCTTGAAGCACCAGAGGTGCGGCAAACAGGCTGATAGTTTATGATTTTTTCCGATTTTGTGAACTTTCAAGACAATTCAAGATTTTTAAAAATTTAATTAGTGGTTTAAGAATCCTGTACGGTCCTTTTCCAGAAAAAACATTCCGAAAATGCCAATTTTCCAGATTTGATAAACTGATAAATTGATATTCATAAAATCTCAAAAATATTATCAGTTGACAACCTTTTTCAATCTTTGACAGGATCCGAGATAAATTGGTTCAAAGTCAATAGTTAGGGAGCTATTGCAGGGTTACGGTATCTTAAAAATCAAAAATGGTTTTTAAACACTTTTTCAAGAACTATCTGAATCATTTTGAATCTCAGCAAACACAGTAATAAAATCTGGAATTATACTCCATACCTGCTAGCCCAATTTTTTTCCTGCTAGATCAAACTTAAATTTGCAGTTTGTAATTCTTCTGTGGGAGACGGTGCACTGAAAAAATCCCCAACTTACACATTTTTGACTTGGAATGTCGAGTTATAAGTAGTTTCAGTGAAGAGACGAATGTAACAAGGTTGTGTGAATTTCGCTTTAACAAGCTTCAAAACTCCTTGATAAGATCCGAGAACTCCGCCAAGAATGGCACCAAAGATAATCACCAAATTGATTATCAAAACTGTTTTATCAGTTCGCTCCAACACTCTGAATTTGATATATTTACATGGATTCGGAATTCAGATGAACATACTCTTTCAGTGTTGGAATTTTACCCTTCCTCCATTCTTCTTCAGTTGCTGCTTCAGAATATAAGAAAAAAAGAGATGGAAGGACAGCACAACCCATTGGAATCGTTGATGCACCTGAAAAATATTGATAATTGATGAGCAAATATCGTTGTTCTACTAACCGACAAGATTCATGACTGGCTGGAAATCTGGAACTGTAAGTGCGACAAAGAGTACAAGGAACAAAACGATGGTTCTTGTAACCACTCTTCCGACTCCGAATGCATGAGATATCTTTGCATAATGTTCCACTTCTTGATTCAATGGATTAATGACAATGACCAGTGTCATAATACAATGGAATGCAATCATCAGATTTGCCAAAAGTTGAAGGAAAGGACTCTGAATACTGTAGATCACTGACTCGGCCATCGAATCTCCGTAGACCACAAATGCAAAAATGCAAAGTGGAAGATACAGAACAACGACTCCCAAGAATCCAGCAATAATTGATTTGGTGAAATCTCTAGGATTCTTCATATCATGTTGAATTGTTGGGAAGACGTAGTGTCCGGAGAAGGCGAACAAAAAGATTCCGAACGAAAGTACTGTTGATGTACTAGTAGTTTGAGGATAAGAGACAGCAGCGAAGCAAGCAGAAGAGTCAAGAGCAATTCCAGTGTGAATAGAAACAACAGCGATGACTGTAGTTAACATTGCAAACACAATCACTATCCTGAAATTTCGAAAAAATCGTAAAATATGAATCGACAATATAAACTCACCAGAATTCTCCTGGACTGGCAAGCAAAGTGAAGGGCCAGATGATAAAAGCCAGAGCAGTGATGACCTGAATATGATTTTTAATTGGAATGATCCCTTTCAGAAAGTCTCACCAAGCAATTGGAAACAGAGTCCAAATGAAGAACATGACTCAAAAAATAGTGGATAATATTCGAGGAAAGTAGAAGATAAACCACAGAAACTCCAAATTGAGTCACATTTCCAAGAACTGATGTAAACCGTCTGATAATTGAAGATACGGAAACATAACTTTGATTAATATTTCTTACTGCATGTTAGTTCCCATTGTTCGTTTTGCCATTTCCGGAAAAGGCTTCCGACAAACTCCAATATGAGGATTCCTCTCCATGATTTTGTTCCACACTTTTCCAAGAAGATATCCAGTGTACTCGAAGCTAACTGCTACCGTAAGCATAATGATAATACCCATAGGAAGTCCAGACAGTTTGAACGCGACAGGCATCGCTACAACTCCTCCTCCGACCATATCGGCTATGATAAATATCGCTGCGATTACCCATCCGATTTTGTGTTTTCCAGGTTGTGGAGCTGAAATTAATATGAGCTAGAATATATGATTCTCAGAGTTAGTTTTTCCTATACATGATTTTTCCTTTCTTTTCAAAGTTTTTGATTTGGAAAAAAAATAATTGTTCAAAAGGATCTAGGATGTTCTAAAAAGCTAATTTAGGTAAAACCTGAATTAAAAGGGCCCCTCTAACAGAAGGGCCCTCCAAGAGGGACTTGGATAAATAAAAAGCCTCCCTTGAATATGTGTTGTTTGAAATTGAAAATTTCAGTACATTTTTGGTGAAAAATATTTTGGAAACTCTAAAACTTTGAAGAAAATTGTTAAAACTTGCAATTTGTGTAAAATTGATAGATTTTCGTGAATATCGAACAAGAATTTCTCGAATTTTTTCGATAACGTTTTCGGAAAAATGTCAGGAAAAATACTATAGAAGGACCCCCTAATTAAAGGGCACCTCAGGGATATTTGGAACGGAAATCACAATTCCGAAAATGCCGATCGGAATTTTTCCGAAATTTTTTTTTCAAAAAATTTGCTTGCGGGCAGAATTACTTTCAATTTTTGCGTTTTAAAAATCTTTTTGTCAATTTTCAACCTTTTTTCGGCGTTCTTGTGATGGAAAGATGGAATTTCTACTTTTAAATTTGAATTTTGAAAATTCCGAAATTCCGAACTTTTTAAAAGTAGAGTTTTCGACATTCCGAAAAGTTCCGAAAAGATCATTCCAAACATCCCTAGGGCTCCTGTAACAGAAGGGTCCTCCACAGGTACCACGGAACAATATAAGGGCTTGCCCTCTTAATACAGGTGTTTACTGTAAAGGAGTATTACTTCCTTTCCATTACTCACCAACTTGTGTCGTCGACATACACATTTCGGAATAGCAGTTGTTAATATATGGATCGGCCGAAAGGTGCCCGCTAGAAAGCAGACTCTTGCTTTGTTCCGCGTTCATTTTGAAAACTCCTGTAATGGGGGAAAACTGACAGGTAAGTAGGTGTTTAAACGGGGTACCATCGGGCGGGAAAGCAACGAAAATCAGGCGATGAATCAAAAAACGTTCAATTGAAAAATAAAGATTGAAGCAAGGTTGGAAAACCTATTCTGTAGATGTAAAAAGGCATTACATATTCCTGATTTTTAAAAAGCAAAAGCACAAAAGAGAAGAAGAAGAAAAAGAGTAAGGAAAATTTTGGAGAAAAAGGACAGAAAAGGTCTAATCTATTGTTCAATTCGTGCACATTTTGTGTTGATGTCTGATTTCTTAACGATGATGATCATCTGCTCTTTTCTGTCTCCCCCGACCTCACACGCATTCTGTTTCAAGGAAAAAAAACACAAAACAAGAAGTGTGGGACGTCATTCAGGGAGAATTTCAAGTGTTCATCTTTCTCTCTATATCTCTCATTTTCATTTCATATGTGTTTTCTCACTTCATCTCTTTCGGGTCCCAAGGAATGTTGAACGACAGTTGTGAACCACGAGGTTCTCTAGCTCACTCCTGGTTTCGGATGGTCCCTCAGCTTCTTTTTTTTCAATTGACATGTGCTACTTTTTGAGTGTTGTTAATTGATGAGAGCATGTACCTAGATCTAGTTGTTTTCTTCTTCTTTCCAACATACACGTACACTTGACAAATTGAAAGAGCATCAGGTGGAGGAAGTGAAAATGATTTATAGCATAACTGGATTCTAAAGCAGGAAAATCCTGCTGCAGTTTAGCTTCAAATTGTAGCTCCGTTTGTACAGATAAGCACATTCAGACAAAGTATACCGTAAACACTCTGATAGAAGATTTAAAAAATGATACCTAATTCAACTATATTCCAATGATAAGAATCGGACCAGAAACATTCTGACACTACTGTTTTCGGTCGTTTTAGTAAATGAAAGACATTAAAATTTCCTATTGAATGGTCTAAAAATCATTTCTATAGCTTTGCTGGTTCAATAGATACAGCCGTTTTAACTTTAGAACGAAAGAGGCGCAAAGAAACGAGACGCGCTAACTTCTCTGCGTCTCTCTTGGGAGCGACTGACCAAATTTTGAGCCAATTTATCTCAGTTCCTACAAAAGATATCAAACAGTAGTCAACTAACAAAATTTTCATCATAAAATGAGCAAAATTTTTCAGTTAAGCACTTTTTGATAACATCCACAGGAACCGAGATATATGGGCTAAAAGTTGAGGGTTTGAGGTGGCGTTCTATTAGAGTGTCTACGGTATATGTCAACCAAATTCAACTTCTCCAAATGTCAGTTTTTCTGTATATTGTTGGTTATAAGTATTCAATTTATCTCTCTTGTTTATCGGTTTCCACCAACCTTCAATTACTGATCGTCACTTATTCATAAGAATTGCCAAAGCGGTTGCAGGGGAACTATGAATGTCAAAACCACACAAAAATCAAACTCCAAACTCACATTTTTTAAAGAAAAGAAGAAAAATATCAGAAGAAGAAGAAGGGAAGTGTCTAACCGAAACGATACACGTAGGTTCTCTAATGCACAGGGATTTGTAAAAGGGTCTCCGAAATAGGAGGAGGACCTTTTTCTCCCCGGTTTACTCGTCTTACAATCCCGGAAGAATGATTTGCGTATGTTCTGATTTTTTCAAGGATGGATCTCTTGTTTGATAAGTGATAAAGGGATACAACAAGATGATATGTTTGCGGTGGGTGCACTCCGCGTGCTTCAGGTTGGTATCAAGTGTGTAAAAGACAATGTCTGGTTCTTTTGATTAATTGATAGACAAAAAAGAGAACAACCGGAGATTACGACGTAAAAGGAAATAAAGGGCAAAAAGAGCAAAAAAAAGAGGAACCGGTGTACATGTCTGGAGTTCAATGCACACTCATGGAAATTCTTTGATGATTGGAAGCCCTCAATTTTGACACCTTTAGTTTCAGATATCAATCAAATGGAAGAAATATTTTCAGATGATGTGAGATGTGTATAGTATCTTAAGAGTCTCCACAAATCTAGCTTAAAAACTACATGTTCTCGAAAGCTTAAAAAAATATTTTAGTGACCACCGGAAACCCGTGTAGGCGGAGGCAAATTGCAAAATGATGGAATAGTCACTAACATACCATAAAAACCGAAATAGAAGGGCCCTCTAACTTTTAATTTTGAGCCCATATAATGTATCGGTCAAGAAGAGATCAAAAACGTATTTTTCGGTTGGTTTTAGACCATTTCTGCCCATTTTTGCCATTTTCAAGAGTCTGGAGCTCGACTGTCAAGATTCCGATCACTTGAAAAATTTTGGTGAATATAAAACATACCTAGATTGAAAACATTGCATTGACAGAATTTTTTGAAAATTCCTACCTAGTTGTTTGCCGATTTTTGAAGGACATCCTTTTTCCTGCTTTTGTTCTGAAAACGTTTAAAACACGCATGTGTTCTTAGAAATCGGCAAATAACTGAAAAGGTAGGAATTTTCAAAAAACTCTATGAAAGCAAAATTTTCAATCTAGTTCTGTTTTTAAATATTTTTCTCCAATATTTCAAAATGATCAGAAACTTGACAGCCGTGCCCCAGGCTCCTGAAATTGGTCCAAATCAACTGAAAACACGTTTTGGCATATATTTATGGCCAGCAATAAATCTCGATTCCTTCAAAAGATATCAAAATTTGGTCAACTGATAAATTATTTTTCATAATATAACCCATATTTTATCAATTGATTTCTTTTTGTTATCTTCCACAGGAACCGAGATATTTCAGCTCAAACTTGACAGTTTGTGGGCCCTTCTATTACGGTTTTACTGTATTCAAATCTATTGGACGCTCTGTAGTTTTTTGTTCATGTTTAAAATTATAGACACCAAGAGGTTCTTCTGTCTTGTGCTGCGGAACATTCTAGATCGATCGGGATCAGACAGCTTCAGTTGTAGTTTTATAATTTTGAGCTTGATATTTTCTTGTTTGAAATATGGTCTCTACTGTTGGATGTTAAAAAAATATCTGGCGAATATGTACATATTAGATTTAAGTTCATAATTCAGGTATAACTAGAAAATAAATCGACATTTGAAATACTTTGAATTTCGACAGCCAAGTGGGAGTATGCAGGTGAAGTCCTACCCGTCTACTCGAGAATATTTTTAACGTGATTTTAGGAAAGGAAAGCTCTAAAAAACAAAATTCTTCAGATGTTAAAAAAAAGTGAATGGCCCCACACACAATTTTTTTCAGTTCCTTCTCTCTTCGATTACTAAGCCCCGTCCTCTTCTTTTTTCACCTCCTCGTGATGCGTCCCAAAAAACTCTGTGCACACGGCGTTGCTTTGAGAGCACATAGCGATAGGAAAGAGGTCCAAGAGAGATGACGTGGTTCTCTTCTTATTCGAGGTTGAAGACGAAAAATCGTTGACGTCACTGGGTCAAGAAGGAACAACGTGGCAACCAGAAAAGAGTTCAGACTAATAATCGCTGTCAGAAGAGAGCCCCGAAGAGAGACATAGTCCAATACTCTTGTTTCGAAAAAATAAGAAGATTAAGAAACAAGCAGCCAGACATATCCTATTTCAACCGGGAGGGGGAAAAGTGCAAAAAACGAGTTAAGAGAGATAGAAAAAGAGGAAGAATCACACATCAATGAAAAAAAACTAAATGAGCTAAATGAGCCAGATGCTGTCGTTCAAATGGAGGAGAACGTAGTGGAACGTGGTGGGTGGAAAAAAAAGAGAAAAACTGGAAGTCGGGGAGTTGGAAAAAGAAGAAAATGAAAAGGAGATGTCGAATAGAGAAGCATCTGGAAAAAAGGAAAAGAAAAGAAAAAGTTGACGGAAACACGGAATTACAAATTAGGCGACGTGGATATGTCTATGAACTTCTTCTTTTTTCTTAGAAGTCGTTATGGATGGTGTCATCTTGTTTGGCATCAGCAGAAATCAACAGGAATGTACTTTATTGAACCAGTAAACAAAACTGAGAAAATCATGGCACAAGCGCCAAAAGCTATGCTTGCTTTGCTTAAATGCTAGGCTTAAGTACTTTTGCATTATTTCATAATTAAAAGTCTCAAATATTATACATCCCGGCACCCAAATAGCTAATCTCTACTCAGCTAAAATGCTAAACCAAAGTGAAAAATCTCGCAAAGTTGGGAAAAATATTAAAATGAAATTATAGTCTATTTACCCTTGAAAAATAGGGCCCCTAACTTTGAGCCAATTAATCTCGGTACCTGTCAGAGATACGGAAAAGTTTCCAACTAATACATTGTTTATCATAATCACAAATTTTTTATCAGTTTGTACATTTTTGATATCTTGCATATAACCCTAGAAAAATCAGCTCAAATGCGACAGTATTCTGTTTGATTTGCCGTTAAGCCTGTATTAGAAGGTCGGTCTTTCTATTGTTGTAAGGCATCTACGAAGGGTCCTTCTATTAGAGGGGTTCTTTTATTTTTCCCTCCATTTTTTCCGACAATGTTTAATCAAAAAATTTGGTGATTTTTCGCTCAAAATGCATGAAAGTCCATCAGTTTTATTGAAATTACGTTAACGAGGGCCCTTCTATAAGAGGGGCCCTTCAATTAAACGGGCCTTTCTAATACAAGTTTTACGGTAATTTTTCAAAAAAATTTAAGATAACTACAAGAAACCAAAGACATCAACATACATACCTACCGAATAAACAAATTATCGGTCAGCTGATGGCAAAAATAAATCCAAGTAAGCTAAGAATAGAAACCCAATAAAACTTTTTTGAGTAGTTGGATTTGCTCCGGAAGATATAACGAAAAAAAAGAGAAGGAAGGACAAAAAAAAAGAAAATGAAAAAAGTAGTTTGACAAGGATGGGGGTCTCTTTTTGGCTCAATTCACTTATTTGGAAGATTGAAAGCCCTCGGGCGCATAAGTTCAACGCTTCTTCGATTTCATAACGCTCTTCTCCTTTTCTTCTTCTTCTTCTTCTGTTTAAATTCTTTTGAAAAATACTGCAGACGTTGCACATGACACCCATAGTTTTGGTTCTGGTTGGATGACCTAGAATCAAGATACGCTGTCGTCACGGGCAACCGCCCGTTTTGCTCCTGGTGAAAACAATTCTTGAGAAGAAGGAGAAGAAAAAGAAAAGAGCAGGCGTAATATCTAGATGGGACACGGATACTAAATGCGGCTGCATTCGAATTAGTCGCAGATTTGCAGTCTCGGGAAGAAAAAAAGAAGAAGAAGAAGATGAAGAAGGGAGGAAAAGGAGAAAAAACCAAAAAGAGGATCTGCAGAAGAACCATCGGATTTTTTTCTCTTGGTTATAAATTAGCACAATTTTCTTAAAGGAAAATGGGGAGCCTACATGCATCTTACCTACTGCTAGCTGGCTGGAAATATGATACTTGTCACAGTTTTACATCATCCACTCATTTTTTTCCTTCATCTTTTTTTCTCTTCTTTTTCTCCTCCTGCTCTCCTAGTCACAACAACAACAAAGCAGCACAAAAAAAGTAGATCACACGGGTAGGTTGGAAGAGGAAACGAGACAAAAAATCCTATGGAAAGAAGTGAGAAGAGCAGAAGAAGCAGAATAAAAAGAAGAAGACGAAGCTATCAAAAGCGGAGAAGGGCCGAGGGAGCAGCGCGAGGGGAAAAAGAAGCTTGGCGTCTGGGAGCAAGAGCAGCTGCCTAACTGAGCGGAAGGGAGCATGGAAGGCGATGAGAGATGCTAGAGATCTACTTCAGACGACGATAGGAATTTAGAAGAAGAAGAAGAAGCCGTTGACGGAGAAGAAGAGGGTGCGCAGAAATGTGATATCCGATACATGCTTGTAGGAGTTTGTCGGCTCCGCGCCCACCAAAAAAGGGAGTCTGATGAAATCGGATTTCGGTAAACAGAGAAATAGGTGATGTAGTTTTTGGTGAAAAAAAAACGTATGGTTATTTATATTCAAAAAAAATGAATGCAAAGCTTTTTTGGCCTTTTTACTTTTGGAATTCTGTTTCCCAGGGGATAATCTTTTGCTATGGTTGAGGCGTTCCAAACGAGCACACACCGACTATCAATGATCGATGTGATCAGTAAAAGTTGGAGAAAATAATATTCAAGATCAACGATCTATTATTTTTACTTGAATCCAGATTAGGAAAGCAATAAAAAATGATATACTTTCTTGGAATAGAGAGCCGAAATCTAGAAATAGACAATACACACTGCGTCTCTGGCTTTTCAATTTACTATCAAGTTGAAAAAAGACATTCTACACAGTTCTGTTCAAATTTCAAGTTTCTAGCTTTTCTAGAAGTCGAGATACAGCTATTTGAAATTCCAAAGGTTAGAGACGCCAGACGACAAGTCAGTCTCTAACCTTGGAAAATTCTAATGGCTATATCTAGTCTCAAAGGAGTCCGAATTCGCTCGTTTCCAGAGAGGATTGAGCTTAAAATCTTGTTATTCCAGTTTTCACTTACATCTAGAGTGACTTAAATTTAGATTTGTGACTTGAATCCAGATCACAAAATTAGCATGATTGTATACCGGTGTCGGGTCTTTGCCGGCCCTTCGCGGGACTTGCCACAACTTCTTTTAGAATCAATATTTTTGGATCAACTAAATCAGATATGATAGAACTTAACAAATACTACAAAATGATATTATTTGAAAACTGTATCTTGTCTATGAACAAAGTTACAGACGAAATGGGTTAAAAACAAACAGGGCGCGGCCCGAATCGGGTTCTAAAAGAGTATATGGCCAGGATCGGTGTACAAGTATCAAAAATAGGAAAACAATAAAAAATAAGATATATTTTCTGGGAACAGACCACTAGAAGCTAGATTATTATTTTCAAAAATAACGATCTGGAAAAACAAAAAACATATTCTTCAAAAGTTATTCCAAAGATATCTCCAAAAGATTTTGAGACTATTTCATATGCATGCTGTTTACAAATTCATGATGGCCAGACGACGCCGCCAGCGGGACGTCTTCTTCTTCTTCTTCTTCTTCTTCTTCTTCTTCTTCTTCTTCTTCTACGCGTCAACAAATGCTCAAACATTTCTAGAATATATCTGTGTGTATCTAGAGGAGCAGTACTAGAAGAATCCAATATATAATTAGGGGAGCCTGGCGGAAACCACGCCCACTTTTTTCTCCATCTTGGCTCCCTTCGGTTCAAGGACAACGGAAGAGACCAAATGGGTTGTGGACAGATGTATTCTTAACGGACTGTGACGGTTTTGAAAATGACCTTGAAGGGAAAGAAATGAAATGGAAGTCGCTTTTCAAAATTTTCAGATTTATGGGAAGGACTATTGTATAAGCTGCACTCTTCTACACAGGAAAATAAGAAGCGTCAGACATAAATAACTACGATGCACACGAAAATTAACATACAGGAACAAAAAAAAGAGAAGAAAAAAAAAAGCAGATGTCATTAAATTGTGGTAGCGGGGGTGGCAATAAAGGAGGAAAAAAAAGACGTCGTCGGGTTTTTATGAAGTGGTCCATGAAAGCGAAATGAGAAAACGAGTGCGTCGTCGGGGGCACATCGTTTGAGACGCCCGCAAATTGCGTTGCTCGATTAAGCTTTTCAGGGCCCACAAAACTTTTTTTTTTCGACGACGACTCCTTTGGCACTACGTCTTTATATATTGGTTGATGTCATGGGGGTTAAATGGGTAAAAAAGAAGCAAAAGTAGATGGTTTTGAATTATCATTTCATACGAAAAATAGTTCAAGAGATTCACTGGGACATGACACGTTGGTATGGATGGTTTTTCTTGATGTCTGGAGAGAGGATTCTGAAAATGAAACTCAATTTATTTATTATGCCCCAGAGATCAGACACAACCTTTCAATGGAAAACGCCAACGGCTTCTCCTTCTTTTGTTGCTGCTTCTGCCACGTGGCAAGATCGTTTTCCTGATTCTCTGTAGCACGAAAGCTTCTCGGTTGAACACTTCCAGTACGACGATATCTGAAAAATGCGGTCTTTGGTTTTCTATTTTGAGAATTAGGTTGAAAAAGTAAACGTGCAATTATGATTTAGAAATTGAAAAGGGAAGTTGTAATTGACTGAAAAGGACCTTTGAAACTGCGTGGGCATGATGTAACAAAAGTAATCAAAACAGAATGTAGCCGGAGAAAACTGAAAATATGTATAACTGGGTTTTTTTTTTCAGAAGAGAGTACAACTGATGACTGGAACTGTCAGATGTTCCTAGTTGGCGTTTCTCAGACACCCCAACTAGTTAATTTAATCTGAGGTGGGTGAAAATTAATTGGTTTTTTCTCAATTTTTAATATCGTTCACAGGAATTTTGGATTTTTAGATTTTTAGAATTTTCGAAAAATGATTTTTCTGGAAATTTTTTTCAATTTTTCCGGTTTATAGGTTTCTAGATGATTAGATTTCAAAAATTTGAAATAAGCATTTTCAATTTTTTTGAATTATTGGGTTTTTCAATCCGAAATCTCAAAAATTCAGAATTTTTTCATTCGGAAATCCGAAAGTCCAGAAACCTAAAAATACCCAGAAATCGAAAAACTTCGCAAATCTGAAATTTTCAGAAATCTAAAAAGAAATCTGAATACTTTTTTTGAAATTTCGACAGTTTTTGATCGAAATCGTCAAAAATTCTTTCTCCGAATTTGTGCAAAAGTTCGTTTTCCAGAAAATAAAAATTCTGGTCTTGTTTTGAATTCCAAAAAGTGAAAAGTTACTTTTAGACAGAATCTACCGTAAGACCTGTTTTAGAAGGGCCTGTCCGTCTATTGTTACAAGGTACCTCCGGAGGGCTCTTCTTTTACAGGGACCTTTCAATTAGATGAGGCTATTCTATTTTCCTGTCATTTTTTTTTATTTTTCGAGCAAAAAGTGTTTTAAATAATTTTTGAGAAACTGTGAACATCCTGTGTTTCACTGTGGGTTCTCTTAATTACAGGTGCTCTTCTATTACGGATGCTCTTCTATTTTTCCAAGACCCTCTTTCAGGGCATTATCAAAGAGAAATCTAACAAAAAAACAATTGCTAACAGTTATATTATCTTCTACATGTGATATCAAATTCTCACCATATCGAAGTTGGGCGAGGGAATTCAGAAGCTGATTAGTTTTCAGTTTATCATAGTAACCATATCTCCCTTGTTTCTAAACTTTTTCTCGAAGCTATCCCCCAAACTTCTCACTTCCTCTCCCCTTCATTTGAACTTTCATACGAATCTCATTAAAAAAGAGCAAAGTTGTACTATTTACCTATCAACCAGCATGCTTGCTCAATCATTCTCCCACAGTCACCTATTCATTAAGTGCTCATCTAATCTCCATAAGAATCAATTTTAGTGCAAGTAACCACCATTAATGGCCCATAAAACTTTTTGTTGAACTTTCTCTACAGTAACCCACCTCGACATTATCTTGCTCACACAACTGTGAGTGACACCAATCAGACGAGCAATGTGACTGACACGACATCCTTCTTCGTAGAGACGAACTATCTTTTTCCGATCTTCCAGACATAGTGGTCTTCCTGGATTATAGGATCTTCCGACTGCTTTGACCTTCTCATTTCCTGAATTCATAGAAGCAGAGTTCATAGAAAGCGTGGTAGTGGAAAGCTCTATTTCTTGGGAAAAGTGATTTTCTAGCAAAAAAGAGAGAACCGGAAGAGCAGAGTACCTTCATTAATTTCCGGCGACGTTGAAATGTTGGCAGAGGAGAGTGAATATAATGCAGAGAGCAGTGAGTATGGGATGATTGGTTGCGGTGGAATGATCTGAAAATGGGATCGGGAAGTGGGAAAAAACTGGATAAATGGTACATTATTCGGCGGAGATCCAGTCGATCCATCCACAGACACCGGAAATTGAGTATGCTGGTGGATTTGGGGCAGCATCTGAAAAATTGGAGATATCATATCAGACAAGAAAGAAACAAAAATGACTGGAAAGGGAAAAGGCTATAAAAAGGGAAAAGAGAGGGACCGCCTGATAACATCATTCTAGAACGGAGACGTCCAATGTTCCACATTCTTCAACGTTTTTTGTTAAGGCTTGATGGAACTAAAGGAAAGAAATTGTAACTTTTTTGGAGAATTCTCAAAATTCTAAAAATCTGTAAATTCAGAAAGTATTTGTGTTCTGATGTTTCTCAAAAAATGAAGCACCGAAACATTAATTGGAAAAAAATTCAGAAGAACAGGTGAATTCTTTTATTCAGAAGTCATTGCTTCAAAAAGACACTGAATGTCCTTTTTGATTCCTTATCACACTCTTGACATAATCACAGGTTTCAATCTGAACACCGATTTCTAACTCCTCAAAAGTTCTAATTAATATGTCTAGCTGGAAGAAATCACATGGTTTGCATAGGGTTACTGTACTCAAGTACACGGAAAGAGGAGGCGTTTTACTGGAATTTGGGGTTTTTTACCCTGGAATGACATGGAAGCAGGAATAATGTAACAATGATGATGATGTCGTCAACTATAAGCATCGGAGGAGGCATCAGGTAATAGCCTCCAGTTTATGCCACACATTCAGAATGTCTGCGTCTCTAGTTCTCCCACACTCTCTCCCTTCGTCAGGAAGACCGCCCTTCCGCGCTGATAGCGTACGCTTTTTTTGCCATTTTGTTCACTTTTGTTGGATTGTATGTGTATATATATATTATAAGCTTTTACTAGAACATCTCATTATGATAGTGTTGGACAACGGTGACGGCGGGGAGAAGAGATCCAGACATGTTGCCGACTGGTCAGATGATGTAACGAGCGGATAGGGGGAAACAAACCTAATTCCAGATGTTTCAGATGAGAAGAGAAAGCAAAGGGAAAATTGTGATGGAACGATCAGCTTTTTGTTGTTGGGAGAAGAAAACTTTCGGATTAGTGAAAGGAAGAAACTGTTCTGATTCAGATAATGAAAATGTTTCTAATCTTACATAAAATCAGAGGTAATCGTAAATAAGCAAAGTTGGATTCTATTATGCTGGAATAAAGAATCGGAGCTGTGGAGGAGAAAAGCTTGTGGGCGTGGCCAACGGTTCCCGTAACGAAAACCACCGTAACCTAAAACTTTCAGTACTATTTTCTTGATTACTATTGCTTTTCGACAACTTTTGTGTTGAAAATCGAGAAAAATGTTAAAGTATTTGCTGATTACGGTAGTTCGGCAGTGGTCGCATGCACAAGATTTCCTCTTCCACAGCTCCGATTTTTGCATACCAGCATAATAGAAGACGTGAGGAAATTCTTTTTTAAAAACTCTAGGCTGTGAAGCCACTAGTTATTATCCGTCTTTTGACTTTTGTTCAAATTGTGTAATTAACAACTTTTATAATCTGGAAATTGTTCAGGTTTGCATAAACTAATTCTAGCGACTTGTCAAAGCATCAGAAATATGAGCCAGCAACTTTTTTCTGGTTGGGTTGAATATTTTAGCAAAATTTGATCTTTTCAGCCTCCATCGGATAGAATTGACTTAACTGATGTCATGTTTTTATGTTTTTTAATCAAGAGGAAGATACTAACTCAAAGAAAAAACATCAAGTGCAGTGCTACCTGAAGTACTGTACTTGAAGTACTGCAAAGCCTATAACAGAAGGGCCCCCACAATATCAAGTTGGAGTTCAATTATCTCGGTTCCCACAAAAGATAACAAAAAGTTTCAACTGATGGATTACTTATCATAATCTCTCCAATATTTTTTCGCGTGACACATTTCCAATATTTTTTCCAGGAATCGAGATAATTGAGATCAAAGATGACGGCTTGGGATAAGCTGGAAATACGGTATTCAGAATTACTCACTGTTCAATCCGAAAAAGAGGCGGAGTTTTAATGTAGGAGTAGGGAAGACCAAGTGTGTCAATAGAATGCAAATGAAAAAAGGCTCCAAGCAGGTGCCTCTCGTAGTTGCCAACCTCAGGTGTCGATGGTTGGGAAAGGGTATTGAAGTGGTAGGAAATGAACAAGAGGCCACATTTTTTGAAACTATCGATGAGAATCGCCCACCCATAAAACCTACACTTGAAGAACTTATAGAGAGACTGAAAAGAGCAGAAAAGTATGGGAATGTGCCCTGAGGTCATCTAAAAAAGAAACATGTTCGAATGAGAATAAGAAGGATAGAAGAGTTGAGCAAAAAAAAGTACTAAGATAGGGGGGTTTTTTCGGAATAAAAAGAAGAAGACGTCACGATTCATGAGAAAAGGAGCTCCTCTTATGTTGCTAAGATGCGTTCTGGCACACAAATTTTTTGACATTTTTGACATTTTCAAGTGGAGACAGGGCAGAATGAATCGAACTGAAAGAAAAGAAACAGTAGGGCAAATGGAAACGGATTGTCGCTTATAAATAAGTCAGATTAATGGGGCAGGAGGCGACATTTGGTTGAAAAAATGATATGAACTGGAGAAGATATGAAGGTGATATGACAAGGAGATAGAGAAGGACTGGATGAACGGAAAGAAAAAATGGTTAATTGGTTTGACTTGGGCAATTAATGGGCATTTAATGGGCTAAAAAACGAGGAGAAGATGTTCATGAAGATAAAATATCACTACAGTATCCTATGGAATGTGTGTTTATACTTGTGTCGTCATCACCATATGATTTCTTATAAACTCCAGAAATGAAAATTAGAAAACATCAACCCCAGAATTTTATGGCATATAATTTGCAACAGAGGTTTGCAACACTACCGGATTATAAATTTTGCAATTTTTAGAAAAAACTAAGAATCTGTAGAAACATAACACAAATTTTCTTCTTTGTTGTAATAAAGTGTAGCTCAATTTCCGTTTTAAGGATCTTGACAATTGCTGAGCAATAATTGAGCAGAACTCTTTTTTTTGGTGCTCAGAATTAAGCAGTTTTGTACTGAAAATATCGACAATTTTTTTCCTAATCGGCATTTACAGTACCGGCAAGTAAGATTTACAAAAACGCGTTTTCCGTTGATTTTACGCCGTTTTGACCAATTTCAGGAGTCTGAAGCTCGTCTGTCCAGATTCCAATCACTTTGAAAGTTTTGGAGGATGAGAAACATACCTAGATTGAAAACTTTGCATTTAAGAATTTTTGAAAATTTCTAGTTTTTTAGCTTTTTGTCGATTTTTGAATGACACCTGTTTTTTCAAGTTTTCGGCACAGAAACGGGCTAAAAAAGGGTGTTTTTTTTTCTGAAATCGGTAAGTAGCTTTGGAAACAGCTGAGCTCCACGCTTTTGAGAATGGTAGAAAATTGACAGGTACTATGTAAAATATATTTCTGAGCGAATATTCGTGTGAACAACTACCGGAATTTGGAACTGATCAGTTTGTTTTTTGTTGACTACTCTGTTTACAATGTTTACAACTTTCTCACAGTTCGAAGGTGGCAATTATTCCTCTCCTATGTGACTTATCAAACTGATCCTCTGAACCTCTATAAACGATATGATTCATTAATCGCAAAGACAATAGATCCAACTTATCAACATGAAATTGAGTGGAACTAGATAATAAATCAAAAGTGCGAAGGAGACGGAACCGATGTCGTTATAGGGAAAGAATATCGACACAGTTCCTAAATAAATTGCGCAAAAAATTGGGAGATATTGAAGACTTGGATAGGCCTAATAGCGAAAAATGGGAATCTTGATTGGCAGTTTTTTGGCAAATAATTCGGATGGTATTAAAAGTTTGGGGTCATTGGGGTACAAAGTGATTTAGCGATAAAGAGTCCTGAATTCGGGGGTACAAAATACATGAAAAAGTTTGAATTTTGTACCCTCCGAATTATGTGCCTTTTTTGTTTGGGGGAGCTTTTAAATTGGAGCACAAAGGAGGTGCAAAAAGTGAGAACATTAAAAAAAAATAAAGTTTCGATGCCACCCAATTTAGCGAGCTTTTGAGAGCCAAACTAACTAAAAAGGATGAGGGAATGTCATTGATACCCTCATAAAACTCCAACTTAAGTGGAACACATTGTTCTTTTCAGGGTCCAGAAGGAAATATCATAGGGAATAATTTATGTAACCCCAGAGAGGAAAAGTGATCCTGATCGTAACAGTGAAACATGAAATGTGATATAGGTAGTAATAGGGAATGAAGAAGAAGACGTTCGTTTTCCGAACAAGCAAAAGTACATTATATTCGGATGGCATCATCATGGATCCAGGGAGGTCTTCCCTCTTCCTTCCGCCTCCCAGGGCGTGCCATTCCATCCAACCGTACCCGTAAACTTGTTCGTCTCTCTCCGTTCGTTTTCTGATTCTTCCGCTTCCTCTTATTTTTTTCAAAAGTTGCCTCTTCTTCTTCTTCTCCTCACATCATCATCTTTATTATATATATTATGTAATTCAGAGTCAGTTATACATAGTGTATTATCACCTACCGCCATTCATCGACTTTTATTGAATCTATGATGTATGTATACGTTTTTAGATAGCTATCGAAGCGGACGACAATGCGGAAAAAGTGTGCGGAAGAGGATGGGAAAAACGAAAAAGAAGAAATAAGAAGACATCGTTCTGGAAGAGAATGGCAATTGTGATTATGTAACTGTGGTGACAAGGGGAACACAACAAATGACAGTTTTAGGAAAAAGGCGGAAATGCGGGATTTCTGATTCTAAGCTAGAACGTCATCGGGCACTTTTCCTGGTCGTCGGTTTTTAAAATCCAATACCGCCGTCTAGACAATAACCCACAAAATTACAGACTAGTAAGGTGCAGTTAACTGATCAGAAACAATAAACAAATAACTTTTAGGCTCTTAAGCTTAAAAGAAAGAGCAAGACTTCTAGCCATCATGTCTACACCAACAGATTTTGGTCCTAGGTTGGTCAGATACTGGAAAGCACCGCTACTAAAGGCGACCGAACATATGACAAGGTTCCGAAAACTCAAATTT